GTTGTTTTTTTAAAAATAATTTTTATTAAAGTTTTTTTTAAAAAAACAAAAAGAGATATTAACACTTTCTTCTTTTCAACAGTTTCACATTGGTGATCCATACTTATACATTCTCTCTCTTATCTTAGTATATCTTTTATACATATATTTCTAATATATCATATATATACCATTATATTATTCTAATTGTTTTATTTACATTTGACATAAATGTGTACACAATTTCCTTTCCATAATTTTTATTTCTTCCCGTTTGTTCCTAGATTTCTCCACCTAATTCAACCGGTATTTAGTCTTCCCTTGTCCTTTTTTCCCTTTTCCTCCAACTATTTCTACCATCTCTCCCAGACTAGGTAATACTCTGTTTCCTCTTTTTCTTGTATCTCCTTCGTGAGCTTATCCATTTCTGCACACTCCATAATTTTTCTGATCACATTGTCTTCTGATGGTGTATTGTTATTGTTATTTTTCCAGTTCTGGGCGTAAACTATTTGTGCTGCTGTAATTATGCGAATGATTAAATATCGTACTTCTTTTTCGTATGACCTGAAATTATTCCCAGTAAGAAAGTTTCTGGCCTTATTTCTATGTGTTGATTTATAATTTCTTCTATTTGTGTTTTAATTTTTTGCCAGTAATGTTTCACCTTATGACAAGACCACCATAGGTGGTATTGTTTTTAAATAAATAAATTAAATTAAATTCTAGGGTTATATGCTTAGCTGAAAAGTCAGAAAATCAACTTGAAACAAGATGGCAAATGGCCTTTGCCTTGGCCAAGAGAACTACCTAGCATTCCACTAAATTAGCCAGGAATTGAACATGAAAGAGACTGTATATATTTACTGAATTAATTCAGTTTCCTGGGTTTCTACAGCACAGAACCTTAATTATATCATGGTTGCACAGAGCTGCATATGTAAAATTAACTGTCACAAAACCCCCATCCCATTTTAACACAGAACATTGCATAAACTCAGACAGTAAGCATTCTTGCCTCTATATGTCTTGCAGACCATTTCCTTCGCACGTGATATGTGGTTTTACTGTTTTCAGAACATCATCCTTCCTGCCTGATGAACTTTTTTATGATTTGAAATTTGCCCCAGGGAGGTGGAAAAATGGCTGCATTCCGGCAATGTATCAAATTAAAATGGGGTTTACTTATTTGGAATTTAGTACCTTGGGGAACTCCATAAGCAAGGAGAAACAAGATGGAAGAAAGTGAATTCTATATTGATTGTAGTGTTTCCTGCCAGTATTTGTGTATTATGCAAGTTATGCTTCCATGTAAGATGTTACAGGAAGTAGTAAATATGAAAGAATCAAGTAAGTTTGAAGTCGATCTGCAATGGGGGATTGTAGTTTAGAGAAAACAGACAATGCTAGATAATATACAGGTAGTCCTTAACTTATAACCACAATTCAGCCCAAAATTTCTATTGCTAAACAAGATAGATGTTAAGTGAATTTTGCCCTATTTTATGATCTTTCTTTCTTTTTTTTTTTTAATTTGATTTATATGCCGCCCTTCTCCGGAGACTCATGGCGGCTTACAGTGCGTTAAGCAATAGCCTTCATACTTTTGTATATTTATATAAAGTCAGCTTATTGCCCCCACAACTGGGTCCTCAATTTACCTACCTTAGAAAGGATGGAAGGCTGAGTCAACCTTGAGCCTGGCGAGATTCGATCTTATTTTAATTGCAGACAGCTGATGTTAAATTACAGTGCTTCTGTCTGTTGAGCTATCCAGGCTCGTTTCTTGCCATGTTGTTAAGTGAATCACTGAAATTGTTAAGTTAGTAACACAGTTGTTAAGTGAATCTGGTTTTCCCAGTGATTTTGCTTGTCAGAGGGTCGCAAAAGGGGTTCACATTACTTAGACTTTTTTATTGGCCAAGTGTGATTGGACACACAAGGAATTTGCCTTTGGTGCATATGCTCTGTGTACATAAAAAGAAAGAAAAAAACTGGGGGTCACTGCAACCATATGTGTCAGTTACTAAGCACCCAAATTTTGATTGTGTAACCATGGGGATGCTGCAATGATCATAAGTATGAAAAATGGTTGTCAGTCCTTTTTTCAGTGCTGTTCTAATTTTGAATGGTCACTAAATGAATTATTTTAAGTCGGGGACTACTTGTAATTTGTTGTTTCTCATCCTCAGCCATTTTAAAAATGTCTGCACCTTAATTCCCAGAATTCTATAGAAAGCAATTAATCCCAGATTACTGTTTATACCTAGAAGCCAAATAACAACAACCACCAATCCCAGGCCTCCTAGCTCTGAAAATAAGAACAGGCAGTCCTCAATTTACAAAAGCTCCTTTAGTAACCATTCAAATTTACATGAGTGAAAAAAAGTGACTTATTTATTATTAATTAATTTATTAATTTAATTTATATACCGCCCTTCTCCCAGAAGGACTCAGGTCAGTGTACAGCCAAAATAAAACACACAGATATAAAATTTAAAAAACAATTTAAGAAATATTAAATAATTTGGCCCATATCTAATTAAAATAAAACTACTCGTTTTGGACATTTAAAAGTTAACGATTAAAAATTTAAAAATTAGGCCAGCCCGGCTTGTTGGAATAAAAGCGTCTTGAGGGCCCGGCGGAAGGTGCGTAAGTCGGGAATCCTCCACATCTCGGGGGGCAATTCGTTCCAGAGGGCAGGAGCCCCCACAGAGAAGGCTCTCCCTCTGGGGGTCGCCAGCCGACATTGTTTGGCCAACGGCACCCAGAGGAGCCCCTCTGTGGGAGCGAATTGGCTGGTGGGAGGCTATTGGTAGCAAAAGGTGGTCTTGTAAATACCCAGGTCCTAAGCCATGAAGTGCTCTGAAGGTGGTAACCAATACCTTGAATCGCACCCGGAGGACCACCGGAAGCCAGTGCAGCTCGCGCAGGAGAGGTGTTATATGGGAACGCCATGACGTTCCCATAATCACCCGCGCTGCCGCATTCTGACCAGTTGGAGCCTCCGGGTGCTCTTCAAGGAGAGCCCCATGTAGAGAGCATTACAATAGTCCAGGCGGCACTGTCGATTCCATACAAAGAAAATTTATACAAGATATTTTATAGATGGCACCTCCCTCCGGCACGTTTGGCTAAAATGTTTCCAAACACATCACCAATGTGTTGGAAGTGCAAGACACAAATGGGGACATATTACCATCTCTGGTGGTCTTGCAGGAAAGCACAACGCTACTGGCAAGAGATTAAGAGAATAATCGAAGAAACAACGAGGCAAAGTGTAGAAATGAAACCAGAATTCTTTCTATTTGGAATGACTACACCACAGTGTACCAAGGAGATAAAATATCTTACCATCCACATATTGACAGCGGCACGTATAGTGTACGCTCAGAATTGGAAATCCGAGATAATACCAACAGAAGAAAAAATAATAACAAAAATAAATGAATGCGCAGAGATGGATAGGCTCACAAAAGAGCTCCAAGATAAAGAGAACACTGACTTTTATTTAGTTTGGCAAAAATGGTACACATGGTTAGAAAGAAGGATAGGGCCAACAACATAGGACATTAGGAGAACATAACTCAAGAATTGTAGAAATAGATACTTGAGATGAGCCGTAGGATTGTATAAATAAATGGTTAATATGTTTGTAGAAAGATACTGCTGAACTTCAATGAATATATTAAGGTATAAGCAAGTGAATTTGTAAATAGTATGATTAAGGAAAATTGGTTAAATGGACATTAATCACCGATGCGAAGGTTTTCTAGAAGTTAGTCGATTGACTCTTTGTTAATGTATAAGTGTTTACATGTATTTGTGTTTTATGTTTGTTTATGTTAATAAAACTTAAAAAAAAAAAAATAGTCCAGGCGGGAAGTGACGAGGGCATGAGTGACTGTGCGTAGGGAGTCCTGATCCAGAAAAGGACGCAACTGGCGGATCAGGCAAACCTGATAAAAAGCCCCCCTGGCCACGGCCGTCACATGTTCTTCTAAGGACAGCTGTGCATCCAGGAGGACACCTAAGTTGCGAGCCCTCTCCGTGGGGGCCAACGACTCGCCCCCAATAGTCGGAGATGGCACCAACTGACTATATTGGGATGCCAGGAGCCACAGCCAATCAGTCTCGGACAGGTTGAGCTTGAGCCTGTTTCTCCCCATCCAGACTTATGATTAATCCAGACTTATGACCATTTTTCACACTTATGACCATTTCAGGGTCCCCATGGTCATGTGATCAAATCACAGTTGGAAACTGACTCATATTTATGACCGTTGCAGTGTCCCAGGGTCATGCGATTCCCTTTTGCGACCTTCTGACAAGCAAAGTCAATGGGGAAGCCAGAATCACTTAAGAACCATATTACTCACTTAACAACTGCAGCGATTCACTTAACAACTCTGACAAGAAAGGTCATAAAATGGGGCAAAACTCACTTAACAAATGCCTCGCTTAGCAACATAAATTTGGGGCTGTCCTCATAACTCAAGGACTATCTGTTCTGTAATTATCAAACCTACTGGCAAAATTCTGATTCCTGCTAAAAAACTGGCAGTTTCCATGGAGAAGTGTAATCAAGACGAACGTTCTCAATGACGCATATATTTACATCAGTTTCACTCAGAGAGAAAATTCTACAGAATTCATTGGTATTCCCCCTCGAGTATCTTATTTCTATTGCTTTACTAAAAGCATACTACTCATTAGGAGCCGGGCGTGTACAGTATTATATTCTTTTGGAGTTTTTTAAACACAGGTGTGGAAGGCGCAGGAAATGAACGTCATGAAACCATCCCAGGCCCCTGCCCCCCCCCCCCCCCAATTCAACAACTTTGTTTCCGTAATGAATGGAAAACCCTTAACAATTACACAGGAAAAAAAAATCCGGGGGCGGAGAAAACCGTCTGGAAACTACAAAGCTGCGGATGGAACTTTGGAGTCTATTAATTATTCATGTTTGAGCCACGCCTACCTGCTTTTACTCGCAACCAATGAAAAACGAGAGAAGGAGGGGGCGCCCTGGGGGGAGGGAGGCAGGGATGGATGAAGTTTGGAACTAGCTCATCAGAAGACAAAAAGGAGAAAAAAAAGACGATTTGTACTCTGATAGTACAAGTAGTAGCAGAAGCGGGAGGCGAAGCCTGTTTGGCTGATAAGGTAGGTTCAAATGAGCGAGAGGGTAGTAGAGAAGGAGAAAGCTGTTATGATCTAGGTTAGGTGAGAAGGGCATGGGGGGAAGATTGTTGGAGAACTGGTCTAGGAAGTACTGATTTCCCACCCCACCCTCCATATGTCTCTATTGATTACAAAGGAGTGAATCACCTTATGAGGAATGCATATCCATGGTCTGAGTTTGGATGGAAATGCAATGTATATGTGTGGGTGATGAGTTTAGTAGGCCAGGGCTGAAAGAGGGTCCTTGGAGTGTTGAGCTTAAGGACTGGAGAGTTAGTGAGATCTTTGAGACCAGGATATAGATTCATGCTGGTTTAATACTAGCTAAATAAAATAAATCTGCCTTTCCAAGCCTAAGACCTTTCAGTTAGTTAAATTACACAGTCTATTATGTTTGGGCATCATGGAGGAGAAGCTATTGTAGAGGGTTACATGAAACTGGAGGTGAGTGGTGGGCAGATGAATGCCGTTGTTGAGTGGTTTAAAGGTGGTTGTGTGAATTGTTTTTAGAATGAGTAAGATGGGAACAGGAAAGAAAGTGCTCCACTGATTGAGAATATGAGACCACACAAAACTGGAAAAAAGGCATCTTAGCTGTGTTAGTGTACTTGTGCATTTGGACAGCCCAGAGAAAAATGTCCTTGAATAGTACCGAGTAAGTTGGCTTGCAAGAAAGTGAAAACTAGTGTGTGAAAGTCCAAATGCTGCTTCTAAACATGCATGTAGGACAGCAAGCTTGCACACACAATCTCTGGTGCTACTTAATATAATTATGTGGAGTTATGTAAGTGGCACCAACTGCAGAGACACCACATGCATAATGAACAGCATCATCTGAAATGTTTTATGTGAATTAGGGTGTGAACGAGTGGGGCAAAAGACCACCTCATGTTTTCAAAGAGACAGGTCCATGAATCTAAGTATGGGTTGTCTTCAATTTTACATTAGAAAATGAAGGGTATAAGTACTGTACACAGAAATAATTGTGGTGAACACATGCAAAGACATAAGCAGGGATCTGCAGCAGAACTGAATACTATATATCTATTCCATATCTTTTGGGAGAAATGTGCGGAAAAAGGGAAATAACAATTTAATAGTGTAATTGGCTATCTTAAAATGGGGATAGTCTGTGAAATGCGCAACTTGCATGAGAATAAATGTATGAAGTCTGTTACTTAGCTCATCCGACAGATGTGTATCAGCAAGGAAGCTAAAATGGCACCTCATCAGTTTGTGTGAAGGAGGGGGTTAGAATCACTTACATCAGTACCCCAGGAAGTGAGTCTATCTTTCGGAGAATCTGTGACACACTAACTCTGAAACATAGCACTTCCTCTTCTGCTTCGTTCTGAAATGTCTTATGAAACTTTTTCAGTAGTAGGAAAATATAATCTATGAGGAAATTACAATGAAAGTCCCCCTGATTTTCTGAAGTACCATATCTTGTCTACATGTGGTTTTTATCTACCTGTTTTCTAAAGCTTAAATTCTGGGCATGAGAGTAATAGCATTCTCCTGATGTTACTTCAGCAACCCCCCATCCAGTTTTTCCTACCTCCCCATCATCCCCATATTGTGGACTCTCAATATGCTCAGTTCTCATTGATTTGGTTTGTATTTATTTCTCCCAATTTTTTTAAAAATAAAGTATGCTTAGTTTCTTTTTTGGTTTGTTATTTGAATAGACCATGGAGTTCTGCAATCTTCTGATATTTTCCCCTCCTTATGCTTTTGCACATCCATGTGCAAACATATTAAAGAGTTTGGTTTTGTTATTTATTGTATAGAATCCTGTTGATGAACACAGGAAGATCCGTACAGTATAATTACAAGAACATTTCTAGGCTAGCTTTCATCACTTGGATACCATACTAATATGTCAGAAGGGAAAAAGTGGAGAAGAAAGTAAAATCTTCAGCCTTGAAAAAAAGTGGATTAAACTTTATTAATAAATTAATACAAGTAGTCCTCAATTTACAACAGTTCCTATAGTGACCATTCAAAATTACAAGGCATTGAAAAATGTGACTTGTGACCATTTTTCACACTTATGATTGTTGCAGCATCTCCATGGTCACATGATCAAAATTCAAATGCTTGGCAATTGGTTCATATTTATGACAGTTGCAGTTTTCCAGGGTCACATGATTCCCTTTTGCAAACTTTTTGACAAGCAAAATCAATGGGGAAGCGAGATTCACTTAACAACCTAATTTAACATCTGCAGTGATTCAGTTAACAACTGTGACAAGAAATGTCATAAAATGGGGCAAAACTCACTTAACAAATTTTTCACTTAGCAACATAAATTTTGGGCTCAATTGTCATAAATCGAGGAGTCCCTGTAAAATGGAAAATTATGAGAGTTGAAATTCAGCAAGCTTGGAAGATATCAGGTTGGGGATTGCTGTGACATGTCTCTAAATATAATTTAATACCTGTGAAATGACTTTATTCAGATGTTGAGCAATGCCTCATGTTTCAGTTCTGATGAATTTTCAGGGTCATCCTCAGAATGTGTTTTTGTGTCAAAAAGTAATAGCTTTTCCTCTTTTTTATATCTATCACGTGAACAATATATATAAAAAGGGGGTGGGTTTTGATCTGTTGCTGTTACCCTTTTGGCTGATATTGACCAACTCTCTGGATGCTCCTGACCATCTAGCACTCCTTCTGTACTGGGGTGATTGGAAGAAGGAAAAACAACATATGCAGGAGCAATTTGATATACCTCAGTATTTCTTAAATCTGGCAATTTTAAGATGGAGTTAAAAATCCAGACAGCTTAAAGTTGCCAAATTTGAAAAATATTCATGTACAGCCATGTTCTGTTATTGCTGCACCTTAAGCTGTATTCAGAGATACAGCTGCAATATCTCCTTAAAAAAAACTTCAAAATTTAACTTAAGGGTGGGGCCTGTTAATCATTTGGAAACAGCTGGCAGCTGTCATTGTTATTATCAACAAACTTCCTTGTCAGTGAATAATGTTTTCCTACCTTTTTCAAATAATTTCTGGAATCTTGGAATAGTTTCTAGTTTTCTGGAACCAAGTGGGTCATTGCTGTGACCTCATTCTACAAATTTTGAGGAAGTCCCCTACTTACAACAGTTCATTTAGTGACCATTCAAAGTTACAATGGCACTGAAAAAAGTGACTTATGACTGTTTTTCACACTATGACTCTTGCAGCATCCTCATGGTCATGTGATCAAAATTCAGCTGTTTGGCAGCTGACTCCTATTTATGACGATTGCAGTGTCCTGAGGTTATCTGATCACCTTTTGTGACCTACTGACAAGCAAACACAATGGGGAAGCCAAATTCACTTAACAAATTGCAGTGATTCACTTAACTGTGACAAGAAAGATTGTAAAATAGGGCAAAATTAATGTAACAACTATTTCACCTAGCAACATAAATTTTGGGCTCAATTGTGGTCATAAGTCAAGGACTATCTGTAAAGACTAGGCTCTCATTTTTATAATATTTCATTTTTTAAAAAAATAAAGTCTCTCAGGAGATGGTCTGGATATCACCTATATTGATGTAGTTGGGGCCTGGAAGGGGAATGGCAGAAGTAGAATAAAACACCATGTTTTTTTCCTTCCAACAGGAAGAAGATAATGTCTCACAAAGGATGTCTCAGTGTTACAAAATACTTCCTCTTTCTCTTCAACCTTTTCTTTTTTGTGAGTATATGGCTGGGGGCCAGTTGGATAGCCAGCTATAGAATTATTATTTGTAGATAGTTCATGAAGCTGTGTTTATGCAAGGTGGGAAAAGAGGAAAGAATGGCTACTGTACATAGATGTATACTTTAAAAAAACAAAACAAATCAAAAATCTTTTTTCCCTTTCTTCAGATTCTTGGAAGTCTGGTCTTCAGCTTTGGCTTATGGATACTTTTTGATCAAAATAATTTTGCTTTTACACTTGGTAAGTTGCAGGGGCTTATTCCGACTTTACATAATTGAATTTGAACCATGTGCTAAACTAATGTTTCTAAACTTTTTTGCTCTTAGGACATCTTTTTCCATTTTTAAAAATTATGCAAACCACGAGAGCCTAGTTTTCACTTAATAGAAACTATTAAGTAGTTAAGTAGTTAACTATTAGATTTACAAACTATAGTGGCTACATTCATGCATCAGGTTAAACCAGGGCTCGGCAACCTTAAATACTCAAAGAGCCATCTGGACCCGTTTCCCCCAGAAAAGAAAACACCGGGAGCCATAAAACCCTTTTGACATCTTAAATGAAGATAACACTCCATATATTGTTTTTTACCTTTATGCTATGTATAAAAAAACGATAATGTGTTGCATTTATGAAATAAATCAATGAATGGCTACAGAGAAAACAAATTTGTATTTCTGCATGCAACAAAAACATTTTGAACTCCGAAAAAAAAAAGATGGGTCAAAAAGCTCAATAAATCACGTGCCGGCGAGTGTCACACGTTGGCGGTTGTGACGCATATTTTGAGTGACAGGGAGCCGCAGCAGAGGGATAAAAGAGCCACATGCGGCTCCAGAGCCACAGGTTGCAGACCCCTGGGCTAAACCAAAATTAAACAAAAGAAAACATGGTTTTGTACAATATATCATCCAGTAAATCTGTTCTTCCACTTAGTATTGTACCCCACCCTCCAGACTCTACGAGAGCCTTGGACTAAGGGGGAGCTGAAAACAGGCCTTCATAAAGGCCACACCCTTTGCTTCCCAAATAACATTGCACTGTCAAATCCTTCATCTTTATTTACTTATTTATATTTCATGCTTCTTAACTGTCCCATCTCCCTTAGAGAGGGGCTTCCTTTTCTAAGTACTGTAGAGAATTTAGGATCATAATTGGGGCTGGAAAAACTCATTGTTAAGTGGTGCAGTCATGTGACCACATCTTTACGACCTCTTTTGCCATCATCATTAAGCGAATTATCATCCTTGGGGTTTTTTTTTTAATTAGTTTATCATACAAAATACAAAAATACAAAGGAAGTAAAATAGGGGAGGGAGAAGGAAAGGGAAAAGTTTGGGGAAAGGGGAAAGAAGAAAGAAAAGGTGTTGACTTCTAACTCCCTTTGGTGCAGTAAAATAAGTTACTAGCATCAAACCTCAACTTTTTACTTTTACATATGGTAATAATATAAACCAACCATTTCTATAACAACAAATCTATCTAATTGGTAAACCCAAAATCAAATTTTCATTTTTTTCCCACCTCAAGCACAAAATCCAGAAGCGGTTTCCATCTAGAAACAAAAATAATTGTGTTTTTTTCTTTAATGAAAGCAGTCAGTTTAACCATCTCTGTTAACTCCCATCGATTTTTGCAGCCATTCATCCATTGTGAGGATCAAAGCGCCCTTCCATTTCTGTGCCTAAAGTAATCTTGCTGTCGTCAACATATATAACATCAAAGTTCCAACAAATTTTTCCAAATCTTTTTCCATTAACTATCATGTTTGTTAAGTGAGATGTGTGATCTCCATTTCTGACCATCCCTGCCAGTTTCCCCATTAACTTTGCTTGTCATAAGTAGCAGGATGGTGCAACAGTAGTAAATACATGCCAGTTGTCCAGCACCAATCACATGACACTGGCAACACTGCAGCAGTTTTAAGTGCAAGGACCAGTCATAAATCATATTTTCCATGCCATTTTGATGTTGAACGGTTATTAAATGAATGGTTGTAAGTCACCCGTAGCTCTCTTTCAAAAGACTTATACTTCTTTGGACATAGGCCAGTGAATCAGGCTTGGTTCTTCCAAACATTTCTGTCAGTTGAGGAATAGAGGCTGCTTATTATTATTATGAATTTCTTTTCTATCATTTGTACTATTTCAGTTCTTGATTGTTCTGATCTGTTTGTTTCTTCCTTCGCAGGGTCCTCATATTATGCTCTCAAGATATGGTCTTATGTTTTCTCTGGTGCGGGCATCCTAACAATGTTTTTAGGATTTCTTGGATGCTTGGGCTCTCTCAAGGAAATCAAGTGTATGCTAGGACTGGTAAGTAGCCACATAGAAGCAGTGGGCCTCGATTCTTTTACTCTCTGAGAAAGGGAAATAACATTTATTGGGTTCAGTCAGGTGGGAACATCATGTTGCTCCTGTATCCAAAATGATTCTTCCCCTAAATTAAAAAAAAATTTTTTAATGCATTATAAACACTTCACCGAATGGAACGGGTTTTGAAAGATTTTGGTGATCTTTTCAGGAAGACAATAACCTGATGTTTTGGGATGAAACATTTAAGTTCTAAGAAATTGGGTGGGCAATTTGAGAAGAATATTTTAACTATGTGATGCAGATGTGTGGGACAGAGTTTAGGTGGGAAAAGGTTGCAACTCCTGGATTAAAGCACAATTCTGAAAACTGGGATTTCTCTGGAAATTGGATCTACAGGCTAAGACAATGTAGCAACATGAAAGTAAAGAATTCCATGCAATTGAAAAATTGAGAAGAATAATTACTATGGGGTCCGTGGTGCTCTCTGAGCATGGTTGTTTTCTTACAAATATTTCATTACCAAACGAAGTAACTTCATCAATGACTAATACTGATGATGTTACCTAGTTTGGTAATGAAAGGTCTGCAAGAAAACCACCAAGATCAGAGAACAACCAGGACCCCACGTTCAACCCCGAGCTACAAAAATTCTATTCTATTGGAATCATTATTGTATAAAACAACTGAAAAAGCTGATATAACTTTATTTGGAGGGTAGGTATAATTATGATGACATTTACATGCCATTCAATTACAGAGAGAATTCATGAACACTATATGTGGATATTTCATCTTTAATATAACACTGATATATTATACTGATAAAATGATGGCACAGCATTCTAGTTAATTAATGGCTCAGGTGATCCCTCAAGACACAGGTAGAAATCTGGTTGTGTACTTTTTAATAATGCAACAGAAAAAAGGAAGGAGAACCTGTATAGTGCATGATGTGGTAATTTCCCAAGAGGCTTTTGTAGTGGGAAATGCAGAAAGGTAATTATGCTCTGTCGTATTTTCCCTTTGTAGTTATATATTTGGTATTGTATGATTTAGCTGCAGGTGTCTGCAATTTTTATGGCAGTGGTTCTCAGTTTTTAATGATGACTGGTAGCTTTTTTTAATATTGATTACTTGGAGGTCTCATACAGCATGTGTCTGTATTTTAATAATATTTACCAAGTATAGGTAAGAATGCAGATTAAAAATAAATTTAGCATGCTTGTTTGTAAGAATCTTGAAGAAATGTTCACGTGAAATGAATGGCAAAGGAAGGAAGGAAGGAAGGAAGGAAGGAAGGAAGGAAGGAAGGAAGGAAGGAAGGAAGGAAGGAAGGAATGATGCCATGGTGATGTTGACTGATTTTGCTGGCTTTTTCTGTCTCCATCAATAGTACTTTGCCTTCCTACTGCTCCTGTTTCTTGGTCAAGTCACCATTGCAATCTTGATACAAACACACAGCAACACGGTAAGCAGTGTAATAGATCAGAAGATTTCTCATAAGATGATCACCATAATCCTGTTTGAACTATGCCTCTTTCTATCTGGAGAACTTTCCCCCCACTTCTCATTCCCTTCTTTTTTATTTTATTGCTAGTCTTTGATCTGGTTTACATACTGAGTAACAGCCTTCCCCAAGAGTATGCCTCTTGATTTCTGAATGGTTCTCGGCATAAACAATGGTCGACATATGCAAGGGAATCTAATGTCCTCTAGATCAGGGGTCCCCAATCCCCAGGCTACGGCCTATTCAAAATGGGGCCGTGTAAGCGGTGAGTGCGTGTCCAGAACCATCCCCTCTTCCCCCACACCCCCCCGCAATCACCGGTCTGTAAACCCAGAGAAGTTGGGGACTGTTGCTCTAGATGTTAAGTCCCAACTAAACAAACAAGCAAACAAACAAGCAAGCAAACAAACAAACAAACAAACAAACAAACAAAGGTTTGCTGGGCAGAAGAGATTTGTAAAAAAGCATCTGGAGAGAAAGGCATTTCTAGTCTAGCTCCCTACTTACATATCCTTGTTTTCCATTAATTTCTGTGGGGGGGGAAATGATATAGTCCTGCAATGTGATGTGAAACAGAATATTGTGTTCCACCATCTTGCACCATCTAGACCAGAGGTGTCAAACTGGTGGCCTGCGGGCTGGATGCGTCACGCACAGGCCACGCCCATCCCAGCTCCACAAAGTGGGGGGGGGAATTGCGAAACATCACATGACGGCATGAGTTTGACACCCATGATCTAGACCAAATCCTTTCTCTTTTTATTTTTCATTTTTCTCTTTCTCTCTTCCTCTTCCCAGAACTCCCCCCACCAAAAAAACCCCCCAACAACCTGGGGTGGGGGAGAAATGATTATGGCTGGTGAAATAGAAGAGTCAATTTAGACCCATCATTTCTCTATCCTTAATGCTTGTGACTCACAGATGAGGGGTGGGGACATAAGAGAAGATGTATGGCAGGCTATATAAAAGAATGAGAGAAAAGATATGTAGATCTTGTCCAGGAGTAAGTGTGATGTTTGTAAAAATTATGAATACTTTTTTTTTTTTGCCATGCTGTATGCTGTAGTTTAGCCAAAGTTAGCAGTATCCCTCTCCCGTCCTTTGTGCAGGCTTTGGGTTCTTTAAACTCCTTTCACAGGCATGCATACTGTACGTTGATGCCATTAATAATTGGTTTGGTGCCTTAACAAAAATAATTAAGGCTTGGGGTTAAAGTCTTGCATGATGCAATGAGTAAGAGAACTAGCTCGCTTTCTGGAAGGGCCGGGTGATCAGCAACTCTGTAGGGCCTGTTGAGAAGGTGGAAAAGATTTGGCTTTGTAGTTGCTGTCATCACTGCTCTCCACTGCTGGATTCTCTGGGAAAAGAAAATAAACCTTGCGTCCTGTTCGGTTTGAACTCTTTTGTCCAAAGAGTTTGGGCAGAACCTCCCATTCTACTCCAAATATAGGTAGTCCTCAACTTCCTGCAGTTCATTTAGTGACCATTCAAAGTTACAACAGCACTGAACAAAGGGACTTATGACTGTTTTTCACATGACCATTGCAGTATCCCCCATGGTTTTATGATGAAAATTTAGATACTTGGCAATTGACTCATATTTTTGGTGGTTATAGGGTCCCGGGATCCTGTGATCCCCTTTTATGACCTTCTAACAAGCAAAGTCAATGGGGAAACTACATTCACTTAACAACGGTGTTGCTAACTTAACATCTGCAGTGATTCACTTAACTGCTATGGCAAGAAAAGTCGTAAAATGGAACACAACTCATTTAATAAATGTCTCATTTAGCCACAGAAATTTTGGGCTCCATTGTGATAGTAAGTCGAAGACCACCTGTAAATATAATCCAGTTTATATTCCTAATTGGGTTTTTCAAAGAAGTGGGTACTTGTTTTATTGTGTTTGAACCAGTGGTGAAATCCAATTTTTTCTACTAATGGTTCTGTGGGTGTGGTTTGGTGGGCGTGGTGTGGCTTGGTGGATGTGGCAGGGGAAGGATACTGCAAAATCTCCATTCCCTCCCCACTCCAGGGGAAGGATACTGCAAAATCCCCTTCCCTCTCCACTACTGGGGGAAGGATATTGCAAAATCTCCATTCCCTCCTCACTGTTGGGCCAGTCAGAGGTGGTATTTACCAGTTCTCCGAACTACTCAAAATTTCCGCTGCCGGTTCTCCAGAACCTGTCAGAACCTGCTGGATTTCACCCCTGGTTTGAACTAACCTCTCTCTATGAATGAAGAATTGTCTCCTCTTCTGCACCTGGGAGGACTCCAGGAAAAACAGGGTGCTGATCTGTCAGTGATAGACGCACCTTTGTTTTTTTATATAATATAAAGAGCCTGCCTAAGATTGCTATTTCTCTCACATGCAGATCAGTTCAACAGTGGCTGGACATGTAAAAACCATCATTGCAAGCTATGGAACGAATTCATCCCTTTCAGATCAAGGTGACAGCTGGGATTTTGTGCAGGAGCAGGTAAACTATCTTCTTGTTAGGACATTCTAGCAATAATGGTAGTTTTACATCCTTTAGTTCCATTGATGCGATTCTTTGGGGGAATATTTGGCATTTCACAGAGAGGCTCATATAATGTGCTAAGCCATAAGGTGGTTTGTTCAGATTTGGCCTAGTGTATGGGTTGGGCCTAGTTTTATGGCTTGAAAGTCAGGATATATGAATCCTAAAAATTCTGGTTGATTGACATGATTAAAGCCATGTTGGATGAGTACAGCCATAGAGTTGACCTAACAACTGAACTTAGTTCGTTCATCAGGTATGGCTATGATGCCATATTTACTATTATTCATTGCATATATATGCAGTGCTGTGGTGGCACAATGGTTAAAATGTAGTATTGCAGTTCAATCCTCTGGTTCAAGGTTGACTCAGCTTACATATTGCTGAGGTCAGTAAAATGAGGACCCAGACTTTTGGGGGCAATATGCTGACTCTGTAAACTGTTTAGAGAGGGCTGTAAAGCACTGTGAAGTGGTAGATAAGTCTAAGAGGTATTCAGGGGTGGGTTCTACTTACCTTTACTACTGGGATCGCAGAAGCTTCCGCACATGCGCAGATGGTCTATGACAACATCTGGGTGAATGAGCAGAGTCTGCCCCCGGTTTTGCTACCGGTTCGCAAGAACCGGACCAAACTGGGGGCAACCCACCACTGGTGCTATTGCTAAACAGCCTGCTTTTCCTCCATATTGGAGCTCAGATTGGCATAGATAAGAGCAGTTGTTCTCAACCTTGGCAACTTAAAGATCTGTGGACTTCAACTCCCAGAATGCCCCAGTGAGCGTGTCTTATCATTTAAGAGTTCTGGGAATTGAACTCCACACAAATTGTCAAGGTTGGGAAACATTGGATAAGAGATTTTATGGAGTGTCCCATTTAGGCATGGATCATGCTCATACCTGCTTAGTTTCAGCGAAGTTGTGATAATTTGTACTGGATCTTTTCCTCTAGTGGTTTTTTTCTGTTGCAGGATTAAAAGCAATGACTTTCTTAAAATGGACGATTCCAATATGCAGACAGGAAAGTTTTGTCTCTCCAACTATCTTCTCTTTCTCACTGTCTTCAATCCCTTCATTTGTTCTTAGTTCCAATGCTGCGGCTGGACAGGCTGGGCAGACTGGATGGAAAACAGCAGAGTCAAAAATGCCTCAGATAAAGAGTACCCCTGCTCCTGTCGTAACACTTCTGCTTTGCACTCAGCCAGCAACAGAACAACTGCCAAGCCGGCCTTGTTTTGCCAAGCAGAGGCACAGTTGCCAATCAACAATAGAGTGAGTAGCCCACACATTGTTCTGGGGATGCGTGCACAGTGCAGTCCAGCTCCTTTGAGTACTTCTGATGATAGTTGTATATCTCTGTTGTCATAAAACAGTTTTTAAAAACTTGACCCAAATCCTGCAAGGGAAAAAAGTCAAATGCCAGCATTCTCTATGCCCACCGATATTTGTATCCAAAATGTTTAGGCAATTGTTTAAAAGTGGGCAGGGAGGCATACAAGCGATTGTATGACAGTGTCTGAAAAGATTGCCAGTTCCTGCTCATTGGGAAGAGGGAGAATTGGTCCACAAAATATTAAGTTTGTCATGTTCGTTCTCCAGTTTAATTTCTGGAAAGAGAAGACATTGGTCCCCAACCCCTGGTCCATGGACCAGCACTGGGTCATGGCATGCCAGAAACTGGGTCATGCAAACAAGCGAAGCCCCATCTGTGGGATTCAGGTACCATGCGAAACCACGACCTCTCAGGTCCATGGAAAAAACTCTCTCCATGGAAGCGGTCCCTGGTGCCCAAAAAGTTGGGGGCCACTGACTTAAGAGACAATTGGGTATGGCAGATTTTTGTAAAATAAAAAAAGAAATACATAGGAAGGAAAGCATATATGGAACAACTTATTCCATTTTAGGAGATGCCAAATTGAGGGAAATTGTAATAGTTCTTCTAGGGCCCTCGACCAGAAAAGAGGAGTTCATATTGATTGGTTGATTCCAATTTTGAGATTGCCGAACTCCTTGTCAACTGACTTGTTTACAAATAAACATAGAAAACATGGCAAGCAAGAAGAACAAAACTAAACTAAATAATTAAAAGATGCTTCCAACCATCCTCTCCCAAGGCCCTGATGAACATCCAGGTTTTTAGTAATTTCTGGAACATCATAACAGCTTTTGCCCAATTTGGTACTTTCTAGGCAGGTGATTGATTTGATTGTAGCATAAAATGGGAACGTTCAGAAGGAAAAAAAGATTTTTTTCTTTTGTCCTATCCACTTTTTTTCATGCATTGATTTCCACATCACTGTGCCATTGTGCCTTGTCTTACTTTTTCCAATCATTAACCTATTTACAAAAAGCAATTGTACAGAAGAGGATTACATACTATTTTGGGGGCCACAATTGGTATATCCTTTTGATGGAAGTATTTATTTCTGAGTAGCATGCATTTCTGTTTACAAAAATGGTATAATAAAATGAGAGGCAGTTGCACGTGATTATAATAACGTTATTTTTTTTAAAAACAAAAGACTACTGAGAACAAAGCATCTAGACACAACCCAGAATGGGGGTTCTAGCTTATAATGAAAGCCAAGTCTTACAGCTCCCCTAACCCATAACAGGATAGGGCTAATTAGATCTCGGGGTTAGGTTATTCCAAAGAAGAATGGCTGCAACAGAGAGCACTCTGCATCTTGGACTTTGTAAACAACCTCTTTAAGGGAAAGGGCTTGGAGTGAATCTCCCCTCAATCTGTTTGGATGGACACAAACTACTGGGGCAAGTTGGTCTTCTAAATATGTAGGCCCTTAGCCATAGAGGTATTAATTTCAGCCTCTTTCTGCTGAGTCCGTAAAATGAACTGCCAGTCGGTGTGGGAGTGATGAAAGGAAATAGGAATTCATACATTGCAAAAGTAATTTGTGGGACTCAACACTTCCTGATATGGAGAAGGACGGTGCCATGGATGTTTCTGAGCATTAGTAAACCAGGTTCTAAAAGGAAAGGACTAGAAAAGGCAAGGGTAGGGCCAGAGTGCAGAAAACAAAGGGGGAGGGTTCTTTTCTTATTTTTGGAGTGAGTTTTTGGCTATATCTGATGGGCTGCAATGTGGGAGCGAGTGAGATGTTCCTTATAATTGATGTGACAAGGATTGTCCTTGGAATTCCATTTGATGCTCCTTTTTAATCTACCTTTGTCCATTTTTAGGGCTGCAAGGACAGTGTCCAAACCTGGCTGAACAACAACATCATCAGTATTGTAGGGATCTGCCTTGGGATTGCTCTCCTAGAGGTAAGCGCTCCTGAATGACAACTGGGTATAGCTACATTTCTACCAATGGTGCTGAAATAATACAGGGAGGGGCAAATATTGATAGGTTTGGAGACCTCCCAAAATCATTACAAAATCATTCAAGTTTATACCAACCTTGCGTGGCATTTATTTTCAGGACTGTCCAAAGACATTTTGTAATAATCACAATCTTTTTTCCAATCAATCCCAATTATATCAAGGCATGTAGCACTGAAGTACAGTTGGGTCTTGTACACAGAAACTCCCATACAGCCCTCCGGAATATTAAGCTAAATATTTTAAGTATTTGATACTGCATTCAGTTTTGAGTGTTTTGAGATCTAATTTTTTTTTGAAAAGATTTTTTTATTTTTAAACAAGCAAACATAAAACCATCTTCAATTGCAAACAATTAGATTTTGAGATCTAATTTTTTAAAAGTGTCCAATGGTCATAGCTCCTTAGCTAGTTTGCTGTTTGATGATGGAATGATCCAAACCTGGTTTGCTTCTGCCCGGCTAAAATGCCATTATATTTCTGCTGTCAGTGCTATTATTCAAATCATGTATTGCCCAGTATTGTCCCTACCAGTCTACTCATTTGGAGCAGTAGGCATTGCTGGTAGACAACAGAAATGTTTATATGTGCTTGATTGTGAGTGCATTACGTGATAAAGAATTGAGGTCTTTATTTCTCCATCCTGGATCTTTCTTGTAGTTACTGCAGCTGATGTGCATGTTGCTGGTCACTGCATTAGAACACAAGGACCTGCATAGTGGTGGCTCCCAGGAGATCCCTAACAGGTGGCTAAAGGGAGTGCATAGATGTTTCCAGCTTTCTGCCATGCCTTGTTATTTGTGTCTTCCTGTGTTGGGAAGGATGTGTTATTTCTTCTCTGTGCATGTCCTGTGACCTGTGTGATTCATGAGTGCAGTGCAGGGAATGCTGATTTTTCTTGGGTGGAAGCATTGGCCAGAAAAGTTGCTGTCATCCCTAAATGCCATGGTGCCATGCTTGTCTATTTGCAAGGAAGATGCTAGCAAGACTTGGGCCACTGAGAGATCCCATATGAATCCTTGTGAATTCACCTAGGCCAGGGGTGTCAAACTCAAGGCCTAAAGACCGGATCCGGCCTGCGGGGTGTTTAAATTTGGCCCGCAGATCTGGCCTGAAAATAGCAAAGGATCGGCCCACTGTGCCTCTAGCAGCCAAAACATAGTGTGGAGGAGACTCCACACACACACCTCCCCCATGCCATGTTTTGGCTGTTAGGGTGCTGCAGGAGGCGTCCGCCCCGTCTCCCCCCCCCCCTTAAGCCGGTCCACAGAAGAGAACTACAGTGCTGATCTGGCCCTCCAAGAAATCCAGTTTGACATCCCTGACCTAGGCAGTTTCTTCCATCTGGCGTTCTTCAAATTTGCTGGATTATAATGCAGAATAGTGTAGTAATTTTAGAAGTATGATTTAGGTCAGAAAGACTTGGGAGCTGTGGTGACGCACTGGTTAGAATGTAGTATTGCAGGCTAATTCTGCTGACTGCCAGGGTTCGATCCTGACCGGCTCAAGGATGAGTCACCTTTCTATCCTTCCGAGGTTGGTAAAATGAGGACCCAGATTGTTGGGGGCAATATGTTGACTCTGTAAATTGCTGAGAGAGGGCTGTAAAGCACCATGAAGCAGTATAGAAGTCTTAGGTGCTGTAGATATTCCAACTGTGTAGTTTATTGGCTAATGTTGGGCCAAACTTAGAGAACGGTTATTCGTTAACATAAAAGGAGACCCTGTGTGGTGCTGCCTTGAACTCTCGCACAAACAATGCAAGAGATAACAATTCCTATCATCCCAAACCAGCACAGACAATGGTTGTTGAAGATGATAGCCAATGTAGTCCAACACAAGTAGAGGAGGCAACAAATAGCTTTCTCTATGAGCATATGTGGCAATTACATTTCTGGGAATCTGTTGTTTTTCTGGCTGAATTGGCTGGAAGACAATAGATTTTGTGTGTATGTGTGTGTGTAGGTTAAAAGTAGTTTGCTTTGGAAGATTACAAATGATTGTGTTACTTCCATTTTTTTAAAGAAAAGTAAACACAGCTGTTTGTGCTGTTCTGTAAAGTTTTTAATGAATTGGCATATATCCTAAGGGCCTGGATTTTAAAGGAAGACGTAGAAGAGGAACAAAGTGTTTTTCTGGTATTCCCCAATGAGAATCACATAGATTTGGAAAGCCCATGAAATTAAATCTACTTTCTGATGCAGATCTATATTTAGAAATCAGAGATGCTTACAGTTCTTTTTCAAAGTCCCCGTAATGGATTCTGCTTCTTTCATTATTCCTCCTGTCTGCACATTGAATGCAATCCAAGAAGAGCTTTTGGGGCCTTTTGGGGTAAGCCCTGCCTGTGGTTGCAGCCCAAACACCTAGCTGTTCCAGTGTGCTTTTGATATGCTGATATATGGATATGCCTGCCGTGTTTCTCAACTCCTACACACCCTATTCTTAGCATAGGTCTGGGCATGTCTGAAAAGGTGAAGTGTTGATTTGCTTCCCAAAGTGATGCATGAGCCCCTGGGTTATGTTTGTGCTACTCCTTAATTCTTCCTCATTTCTGAAACCTCTTTCCATGAGGGTGAAGGTTCGTACTCCAAGCTTGTGGGTTGGTTTCTGAACGTTTCATTACCAGACTAGGTAACATCTTCTGCAGAGTTTAGGAGATGCCATTGTCAGTGTTCTTCTGTTTACAAGGGCTTTCTGTGGTGCGTAGGTCTTGTAATGGGTCAGGTGTGGGTGTGTCAAGTGAGGGTCTTGTATGGGTTAGGTTTGAGTCATCAGTGAGAGACTTTTGATGGGTCTTGTGATGGTGAGGTTACATCAGGTCAGGGTCATTGGGAGGTGCTGGAGGTGGGGGGGCTTGCATGGGTTAGTTGAGGGTCAGTGCTGTCTCTGGTTGGCTGTGTGGTTGGTCTGGATTCTGAAGGTTTTGTAGGTCCATGTGTCTGTTGATGGAATTGCTTGTGGAATGTCAGGCTTCGATGGACTCACGAGCGTGGCAGGTGGTAGCATGGCCGATTTTTGTGTTGCTCCAATTGAACTGGTACTGTTTGGTGTCGGTGTGGGTAGAGATTAAGATTGTTCTCCCATAAGCTCGGAGAACGAACCTTCACCCTCATCCTATCCCTGAACTACAGATATTCACCACTATTGCAAACCTCTTTCCATTTTTATAATCACTTAAATTATTTCACACACTTGCTGCACAGAGAGATCTACCTGGAGTTTTGGCAAGGTAATTCATTCCAGGGCATTGTCAGGCCTGAATGTTCCTTTAGTACAAATGTGTCAATGCCCACAATGCCTTGTTTTCCCCACCTCATTCCTCCTTTGCAGGTTAATGTCTTGCTTGCATCTTGTGCTGTTGCAAAAAAAGTTTTGCTGGCTCCCCCAGGGCCAAAATGAAGCATACAGTATCATGCCAAGGGCCCCAAGAACTACAGGGGCTGCTTGAGCACCGATAAGGAGAGGGCAAATATAGCAGAGAACAAAACAAAACAAAACAAAACAAAACTGTAAGATGCTACAGGGCAGATTCACCCTTTTTTAATCATTGATAGTCATCTTTCTTCCTTTCAGAAAGATACATTCTATGAGCCATTCTGATCTCTGTAGCTTCTTTCCATCTTGTGTATTTACTTTCCCTATGGTGGATTATATTTCAAGAATTCCACAGTCAGCCTGACCATTGCTGATCCATGTATCTGGGGAGCACCTAGATAAGGGCTTCAAGGATAATGGGGATTGTAATTCAGCACACATGAAAGACACCTGGTTGGGTTCAATAAGGATTCAGAGATAGCTACTATATTCATGAGTTGTAATTTCAGGGCTTAGGTCTAGGCGCAGAGTGGGCAATGATGGCTTCCTTACAACCTGTGGACTTCAGCTTCTGGCTGGCTCAAGAATTCTGGGAATTGAAGTCCACAAGTCGTGAAGGGGCTATCCCAGTATCCCACCTTCCCAATGCACTGGATTCCCAGTGGCCAGAAATCTTAAGCAGAAATACTGGAGGTTGAAGTCCAATACTTTTGAAAGCCATGGGATCAAATTAAGAATCTTATTTAATCTTATTTTTAAGTTGCTTTACAAACTATCCCAAACATGGAGTTTAGCTTTTCTTATGATAGATGTGTGATTGCTGTTTCTTTTACTAAAATCTCTTTTTTTCCCCATAGCTCTTCCTCATGATGGTATCGATGTTTCTGTGTAGAACCATTGGCCCCAACTATGACAAGCTTGCTCGTTATTCCTAGGCAAAGAAACTTTTGGGGGAAACGGCATCGAAGAACATTGTGTCTTATTCAGGGATTCAACCAGGATTTTAAAACAGTATATTGTAGGTTATGTATATACTGCGGTTATGTTCAGCAAGTTTAGTATCTAACTTTCTTGTCCTAATAGATCCAGTCTTGAGATGAAACTTTCAAGAATCAGAGCAACCAATAAGAAAACACAGTACTATGAAACAGGTTTTTACTTTCACTTAGCTAAAGATAGTTCAGCTCTTAGATGGCCTCCAAAAATTATAGCCGTATCGGCTTTTGGCTTTACAGTAAATCCCTACAATAAGATAGAGTTCTATGTTTTTATATTGCATTGTCTGGGAATGCACAGATTTTAACAGACAAGCCCTGATCTACTTTTGCATGAGGAGAACTATTTAACCATAAACCACTTATATTGCTAAGACCTGTCAAATACAACCTGGGAAAAATTATTTGTTAAAAGCATATACATATTATACATTCAACAATGCCCCCAAATCCTTTGATACAGCTGTTCTAGACCTAAAGCTAAAAAATTTACTTTTTTAAAAAAGTGAAATTCACAACATATTATTTAGTCAACAGTTCAGGCTGTGAATTAACAGTGGTGTTGATGCACCTGATTGGACCAAGAGTTTTTGTATCATTTCTGCTACCATTGAGGTATGATCTATTCAGCCAGACTTCAAGCATTCTCAACCATATGTAAGATATAACCAAACCTAAAAGTTGTATGTTTTATGCTACTCCTGGCATGTACTTTAGTATTTAGTCTTTTATACTGCAATCTTGTCTTGATTTGGTTGAATTAACCTATGTTGAAAACGGCTCGGTTAAGCTGCATTTCTCCCTTATGTTTGGACTAAACTGTTCCATCACCAGCCTTTTCCTCTTGTTGGATAAAAGGCATGAGGAACCTGAAATCCATCTGATATTGTTCACTGGTGGCTCCTAATTGTCCCAGCTTTACCACTGGGTAAGGAATGTTGAATGACAAGTTCCACAGCACTGAATCCGCAAACCTTTGGAGCTCATGACCCCACTAGCTAGTTCAGAAGCAGGATATACCTGGTCTGGAATGAAGAGGTCTTATCAGCACTGGGAATACATTGAGATAGCCATTAACACTTCTGTGGATTTTTGAATGGTGCCTCTTTACTGCCCCAGCAGGTGTAAACGAAGAGGATACCTTATCTTTGAACCCCAAAAATTGGATATGGTTTTGTGTTGTGCCTTGCACACTTACAACCCTGTGCAGGGCAGATGAGAAACTTTCTTTCTTTTTGCTTCTTTTGTGGTATTTATATATTCAGCTTCGATGTTTAAAACAGAAGTATAGAGGGGGAAATACTTTGAGGAAGAGGATGCAGGTGGAATGCGGTACATATATAATTTTCACCTCCTTTCTCAGTTTACTGTGGTTTGTTCTTGGCAGAATTAGGCTTTTTAAAATTTCTATTTTGTAAATAAAAATGATCCATAAACAGTTGTGTTTGATTCTTTGAACTTGGATGTAAAATAGTTTTTAGCTATAGGTAGTAGAGGTAGGACGCTGTGGCTCAGTGGCTAAGACGCTGAGCTTGTCGATCGACAGGTCGGCAGTTCAGTGGTTCGAAATCCTAGTGCCGCATAATGGGGTGAGCTCCCTTTACTTGTCCCAGCTTCTGCCAACCTAGCAGTTTGAAAGCACGTAAAAAATGCAAGTAGAAAAATAGGGACCACCTTTGGTGGGAAGGTAACAGTGTTCCTTTGATGTTTAGTCATGCTGGCCACATGACCATGGAGTCGTCTTCAGACAGGGCTGGCTCTTTGGCTTTGAAATGGAGATGAGCACCGCCCCCTAGAGCGAGTAGCGCATATATGCGAGGGGAACCTCTACCTTTTTACAGGTAGTCCTCGACTTCTTACAAAGTTCATTTAGTGGCTGTTCAAAGTTACAGTGGCACTGAAAAAAGTGACTTATGACCATTTTTCACACTTAGAATCGTTGCACTGATCACATGATTTACATTCGGATGCTTAACAACTGTGTCACATGACGGTTGCAGCGTCCAGGATCATGTGATCATCTTCTGCGACCTTCTGACAAGCAAAATCAGTTGGGAAGCCAGATTCACTTAGCAACCGTGTTACTAATTTAACAACTGTGGTGATTCACTTAACAAATGTGGTGAGAAAAATCGTAAACTCGGGCAAAACTCAATAAATGTTTCACTGAGCAGCATAAATTTTGGGCTCAATTGTGGTCGTAAGTTGAGGACTACCTGTATTTGCGATAGTGACGAATATCTGTAGCAAGGGTGGAGGGCGAGGGTGGAGGTTTGTTCTCTGAGATTTGTGGGTTGGTTTCCAAATGTTTCGTTGCCAGGCTAAGTAACATCTTCAGTGTAATTTAGGGAAGTTATTTAGCTATTCCACCAAAAGAATAGATGTACTATTGATAGGTCAATGATCAGTCAATGTTAATTGGCTGGTTTTGAGTCATTAAGGAGCCTCCTGAGACGTAACAAATCTCCATTAAATGAATCTGGCTTCCCCACTAACTTTGCTTGACAGAATGTCGCAAAAGGAGCCTGGATAGCTCAACGGACAGAGCTCTGTAATTTAAGACCAGCTGTCTGCAATTAAAGTAAGATTGAATCCCGCCAGGCTCAAGGTTGACTCAACCTTCCATCCTTTCTGAGGTAGGTAAATTGAGGACCCAGTTTGTGGGGGCAATAAGCTGACTTTGTATAAATATACAAAAGTATGAAGGCTATTGCTTAACACATTGTAAGCCGCCCTGAGTCTCTGGAGAAGGGCGGCATATAAATCAAATTAAAAAAGAAAAAGATGATTACATGACCCCATGATGCTGCAACTGTCATAAATATGAACCAATTGCCCAGCATCCAAATTTTGATCATGTGACCATGGCAATGCTACAACGGTCATGTGAAAAATGGTAATAATTCACTTTTTTCAGTGCTGTTGTAATTTCAGAGAGTCACTAAATGAATTTTACATTGAGAACTACCTGTATATCGTCCCCCTTTCCTACCAAAGAGGAACAGACAGAAGCACCTGTGAATGCCAAAAAGATGATAATCATGAACATACAATTAGCCAGATAAGGCTTATTCAGATTGAACATATAGAAAAGCTCAGTTTACTTTTATATTTTTGTTTCGTTTTAAGAGTGGGATTATGCGTGGAATAGAACAAGGTGGTAATTCTGATTCGGGAGCTAAAAACATAATTTCATTCTCCAAAATTTGGGACAACTATTTTTTTAAAATGCTTCCTTAGATATAAAACTAAGGCAGCAGAAGGCAAGAGAAAGAGGGCTCAGAAGACCATTTTTTCTGTTTCCAATGGTTAATGCTCTTGCTGATCTTTAATTATTCATATGAGTAATATTAAAATGCCTCCCACCTGTACTTCAAAGATACTGTACATAGCTGACTACATGATCTCATGCTCATTGTGTAAATGAAGCCTGAGTTTTGCAAGGTAAGAGGGACACGGTGGCTCAGTAACTAAGACGCTGAGCTTGTTGATCGAAAGGTCGGCAGTTCAGTGGTTCAAATCCCTAGTGCCGTGTAAAGGGGTGAGCCCAGTTAACTTGTCCCAGCTTCTGCCAACTTAGCAGTTTGAAAGCACGTAAAAAATGCAAGTAGAAAAATGGGGACCATCTTTGGTGGGAAGGTAACAGCGTTCCGTGCGCCGTTGGCGTTTAGTCATGCCAGCCACATAACCATGGAGACGTCTTCAGACAGCGCTGGCTCTTCAGCTTTGAAATGGAGATGAGCACTGCCCCCTACAGTCGGGAAGAACTAGCACATATGTGTGAGGGGAACCTTTACCTTTACCTTACCTTCCTACAGTGTGAATTGTTCTCTACTTTTGAAATGGTACCAACTCCTAGGCAGCAAAGGAGAAATTAGGCAACTGAGTCAAGAATTTTGCTAAGCAAGATGGTTGTTAAGTGAGTGAGGTCCAATTTTACAATTTTTTTTGTCATGGCTGTTAAGTGAATCGTTAAGCGAATCTGTCTTCCCCCATTGACTGCTTGTTAGAAACCAGCTGGGAAGGTCGCAAATGGCAATCATATGACTCCCAAATGCTAAAGCCCTCATAAATATATGCTGGTTGCCAAGCACCCAAATTTGATCACATGATCATGTGGGTGCTGTGAAGTCATAAGTGGTTGTTAAGTCACTTTTGAGTGCTATTGTTAACTTCAAAAGGTCACTAAATGAGTAGTTTTAAGTCGAGGACTGTACTCCACAATGGAGATTAATTCAATACAGGACAAGAATTCAAATTTGATTTAAAACTTGTATTAAACAATATCATTACTGCCACTGTATATAACAATCTTCAACTTGAGTCACATTAAACCCTACCGTTTGTGGTGGATTCTTAAAAGGATCTTAAAAGTGAATCGAGAGCCATCAGGTTATGCATTCCTGATATAAACCTTTCCCTAGAGTCTGACATGATAGTGTAGGAATGGGTTCACTCTTCAGCAGTTTGTGAGAATTAAGTTATAATGTACATCAAAGTCTGTCTGTCATACAAAACAGGAGTGCTAAGAAATACCGTTTCTTCTTACAATGGAGTGTTAAATCCCAAGAAGCAAAGACATGGGACAATGTTCTCCCAGGAGATTTAGAAAGATACCCATGGAGTTGAGATTAACTATTGTCCTCAACATGCCCGAGATGATTTGACCAAAAGAGTATTCTTCCAGAAGTACACCTGTTCAAAGGACCATCCCACCTGTAAGATGGTCTACTGAGCTATCCCACATTTAAGATGGTCTACTGAGCAATGGGTTCAAGCCTTTCAAAGGTTTAGGTCTAAAGCTTGGTTTTGTGAGAAAAACCAAGGCAGAAAAAAGAGAAAAGTATCTGTTAGTAAACTTAAAAGTTGGTATGAATGGGGTCAGCAGTTTTTCCGCCATCAGTTCTGCCATCTAGTATGATGTGGAGATAAGAGGAAGATGGCTTGCTGGCTGGGGTTGATTTGTAGAATATGGTGAACTATTTCTCAGTCCCGGCCCAGCCGATAGATGTGATGCTGTGATCCCCATTCCTTTGCAGAAACTTCAAACACAAAGGCCACACACAGTAGCAATTCCTGAGTTTCTTGATCCCGCAAAACCTGTTTGGAAATGAGAACAACAGTTTTTAATGGCAGAGTTTCCTACTTGGTTCATGAAACAAACCAACCCATCACACAGAACAGATGCATTTAACCTCTTAATGCACTTGAGGGTAGAACAAGAAGCAATGGGTGGAAACTAATCAAGGAGAGAAGCTCCTTTAGAACTAAGGAGAAATTTCCTGACAGAACAATTAATAAGTGGAACAACTTGCCTGCAGAATGCCCCAAACACTGGAAATTTTTAAGATGTTGGATAACCATTTGTCTGAAGTGGTGTAGGGTTTCCTGCCTGGACCGGGGGTAGGACTAGAAGACCTCCAAGGTCCCCTCCAACTCTATTCTATTCTATGTATTTGAGAGTTGTATTGTCCCGGGATCATGTGATCACCTTTTGTAACCTCCTTAAGATAGCTTCTGACAAGCAAAGTCAATGGGAGAAATCACATTTCCTTAGTGGCTACATGATTCTCTAAACTATGGTAAAACCGGTTGTCACTTACCAGCTGCCTTGCTTAACAACAAAAATGTTAGGCTTAGTTGTAGTTGCAAGTTGAGGACCACCTGTAATGTCAAGGCCTTCAGTGTCTCCCCAGTCAGCTCTTTTATGGTAAGGGAGTAGCCATTGAAACTCTATACTTGATTATGAGGCTGTTCTTGACATTATATTCCCTTATGTAACATGTCTTTCCTCATTGTTTGATGCACTGTAGCATTCCACTATAGGCAGTCCTCAATTTACGACCACAATTGAATCTAAAATTTATGTTGCTACGTGGGACATTTGTTAAGTGAGTATCATACCATTTTGTGACCTTTCTAGCAACAGGAGCTAAGTGAATCATTGCAGTTGTTAAGTTAGTAACACGGTTTTTAAGTGAATCTGGCTTCCCCATTGACTTTGCTTCTCAGAAGGTCACAAAAGGGGATCACATGATCCCAGGATATTGCAACCTTCACAAATATGAACCAGTTGCCAACTGGCCATATTTTGATCACATCACCCACAGGCAGTGGTAAAATGTAAAATTTGTTACTACCAGTTCTGTGGGCGTGGCTTGGTGATGGTGGGGTAACGTGACTGGGTGGGCGTGGCCATTTTTTTTTTATGCTTTTAAAAGAAAAAAAAGCCTCTGACAATCAAGCAATTCTGCAATTCTGCTGGGATCGTCAGAGCCTTTTAAAAGCATTTTTTCTACAACCTCTCAAAGAGTTTGTAGAAAAAATGCTTTTAAAAGGCTCTGACGATCCCAGCTGAACCGCGCAATCATCAGAGGCTTTTTTTTTTTATTTTTAAAAGCATTTTTTCTTCTGCCGAAAAAATGCTTTTAAAAATAATTAAAAAAAGCCTCTGATGATTGCGCGGCTCAGCTGGGCATGGGGGTGGGGCAGGGATTTTTGCTACCGGTTCTCCGAACCATCCGTTGCCATCGCTACTGGATCGGGCGATCCGGTCTGAACCGGGAGCATTTCACCCCTGCCCACAGGGATGCTGCAATGGTCTTAAGTGTGAAAAATGGTCATAAGCCACTTTTTTCAATGCTGTTGTAATTTTGAATGGTCACTAAATGAACAGTTGTAAGTTGAGGACTACCTGTAGTACTACGTCGTACAGGACTACCTGTACAAGACAATTGAATCTAAGTGCATTACACATATCTATGACCATTCTAGAGGACAGACTTTGGGATCACGTACTGTCTCCTAGATGCTTTCAAGTAGTTCCTGGCGCACTCAACAACATCAAAATAATATATATTTAAAACGGACAATTTAACATCTCAACGTTTCCAAATCTCACTGAATCTAGGGCGTACAGAAGGTGTATCTTGCATGTTATTGATTTTGTGATTTCAATTTATAAAAGAATAACTATTAATATAAATTAATAGTCCTCCAGGCATCCCTAGGAGCATCATGTTGCTGAATTTATTTATTTATTTATTTTATTTGCAAGTATTTATATGCCGCCCTTCTCCCGAAAGGACTCAAGGTGGCGAACACAGGTAAAAACAAATAAACAGATAAAAACATACAATAAAAACCCAATTAAAACCAGTTAAGATCGAATGATAATAAATAATAACACCCAAGAATCTAAATCATGATGGCTTATGCTGAATGATGGCTTATGCGACAGTTGTCTCAGAAACACTTTCAGTGATGATGGAGAAAGTCATATAAAAAAAGGCTGGAAACCAATATTTTCAATGATGCATGTATGAATCACAGCAGGCTGCACAACCTTTAAAAAGGCACTACCTTCTTAACCCAGGATGGCTCTCTGTCAATAAATGGAACTGATAATTAGCGGTTGTTATATAAGCATATAAAGTATCTTTTTATCTGCTCAATTAAATCGGGGACATATTTAAAACAACAAAACATTTAGTAACTATTCTCACTATTTAATTGATTGAATGTTCCAGACATAGCCTTAATTGCATCTTACTCATTTTGGGATGCTGAGAAAGAAGGGATCAGATAATCTCCATAAAAACTAACAGGAGAAGAGTTCCTGGAACAGGTTTAACTTGCCTGGCATTCCCAGAGAAGCGACTAGCATAACTAACTTTTTGTTAATGAAAAACAAAACCTATCTAGCTCAAATATGCTCTCAAACAGGCAATTTTGTAAAAAAAATTACACTAAGTTGGTGTTTGTCAACCTTGGCAACTTTAAGACATTTGGAATTCAACTCCCAGAATTCCCCAGCCTTCATATGCTACCTAGGGAATTTTGGGAATCGAAGTCCAAATGTCAAAAATTTACGAAGTTTGAGAAACATTGAACTAAGCCCATTGAGAACTAGAAACTAAAGTAAAACTGAGGTTTGGGCAAAATTTTCTGTCTCCCCATTCCTTCCCTGTGGAAGTATAATTTTGACTTGTTTCTCACCCTCCCCATAATTCCTTTCCCAAATACCTGCAGGATGCTGAAATTTTCAAGCACACTATCCATCATTAGTTTTTCTGGTAGTGTTCGTAGTTTGCGAATAAAATTAATGAGATACTCGCAGAGTGGTGAACGTTGCAGACGGAAAACAAAGCGGCCATCTTCCCAGTGAGGAGGCTGGGCTGTCTGCAGAATCAAGGGGATGAAGTGGGACAGATATTAGAAAGTAAGACAGATCAGAGAGAAGCCCCAAACCTACAACCATACATGCATACTTTCAACAATCATTTTTTTTAAAAAAATATTTTTTTTATTCCAACATTATTACTTTTATAAGTAATTCAAGCCAGCGAATATATATAATACTCTTTCGTCCTCCTATTTTCTCCACAACAACAACCCTGTGAAGTGCGTTGGGCTGAGAGGGAGTAACTGGTGCAAAGTCACCCAGCTGGTTTTTGGGCCTAAGGCAGGACTAGAACTCACAATCTCCTGGTTTCTAGGTCAACATCTTAACCACTACTTCCAAAATGGGGATACCTTACGAAAGTAACATGAGATTCATTATTCTAACTGAAAAACAAATAAAGTCATTTCATTGACAACAAGGACACCTTAAAAAAAATCCAACACCTCCCCCTGCCCCAATTCTCTTGCCTGTCTCCTTTCGGGTCTTGCTAGCATCCAGATCAGTGGTAGGTTTCAATTTTTTTTACTACCGGCATGGCTTGTTTCGTGGGGATGCCTTGGTGGTCATGTGACTGGGTAGGTGTGGTTTGGTGGTCACGTGACTGGGTGGGGCTGCACCTTGCTGTGAGTGACATTGAGTTGGCCACACCAACTCATTCACATGACTGATGCTGAAGAGATAGGGCGATTTCCTAGTACCTCCCCTCCTGCTTGGGCTGACAAAATAAAAGCCTGCCTGCTGAGCAGCCTGGACTGGAAAACACATGGCTGGAACGGAGGAATGTTTAACAAGCTCCAAACTGTTGCTGCAAGCTTTGGTTTTGTTTTGGGGTGGTTTTTTGGTTTTTTGCCAGCAGACCCTCAGAGATGAACAATTTCTGTGCTACCAAATTTTACTGTACCTCGTTGTTGCCACGCTGCTTGTTGCTACTGTGGTCATCGGGGCTGCCCAAGTAAAGAACCGCACCAGCTCAGCTCAGGGCGACTGTGAGGAGCAAGAGGGGAAGCCAAGGCGCTCACCCCACAGTGGCCAACTTCGCGTGCTCTCGCTCCTGTGCGCGCTTTCCTGTTCCGGTTTGGCGCTCCTGGTGTGTGCAAGGAGTGTGAAGGGAGGCAGACACTGCGCTGAGAAGTTGAGAGCAAAAGTAATGGCAGCGAGGGCGACAGGGGCATGTGACGTGTTCCTCCGCGGTCCCCTCCCGAGTGATAGCCAGGGTTTCGTCAACTCTTTTTCTCAGGTGTGATGTCTGCCTCCAAGTCCTTGCAGAGGGAGACACACACACACATGCGCCTGTCGCCTCCGCCCCTGCTACTTTTGCTCTTGCCCCCGCTACTTTTGTTCTCGGCTTCTTGGCGCTCTTGTCGATTTTGAAGAGTGGAAGATGTTTCCTTAGATCGCTGCCAAATTCATCATTGGGAGAGTTGTAGGCCAGCCCTGAATATACGAGAAGTCTTGGGCAAAGGAGTGTGAAGGGAGGCAGACACCGCACCTTTGAAGAAAAGAGGAGGCTCAGAGGCACGTGTCTGCCTCCCTTCACACTCCTTGTGGAGGGGGACACACACACGCCCATCACCCCTGCTGCCGCTACTTTTGCTCTTGGCTTCTTCTCGGCGCTCTTAAAGTCGATCGCCAGAGTTTCCTCTTTTCCTTAAAGGCATGGTGTCAACCTCCCTTCACACTCCTTGCAGAGGGGGCCACACACACACAAGCCCCTGCCAGCCCCGTTGCCGCTTCTTTTGTTCTCGGCTTCTTCTCGGTGTTCTTAAAGTCTATCACCAGTGCTTCCTCTTTTCCTTAGAGGTGGGTGTCCGTCTCCAAGTTCTTGCGGAGGGACACACACCTGTCACCCCTGCTGCCACTACTTTTGCTCTCGGCTTCTTGGCGCTCTTAAAGTCGATCTTGAAGAGCTGGAAGACATTTCCTTAGATTGCTGCCAAACTCATTGTTGGGAGAGTTGTAGGCTAGCCCCTGAATATACGAGAAGTCTTGGGCAAAGCTCTTCCAAAGTTTGGCCAAGTCTTCTCCTCCTTCTCGGCCTTGTATCACAGAGCAAACACACACAGTCGCACACACCTCACGGCACACGCACGTCATGATGTGCGTGTTTGCTCACACACGTTAAGGCCGAGGAGGAGAAGACTCGGCTGAACTTTGGAAGAGCTTTTCCCAAGACTTCTTGTATAGTCAGGGGCTAGCCTACACCTCTCCCAACAATGAGTTTGGCGGCGATCTAAGGAAACGTCTTCCAGCTCTTCAAGATCGACTTTAAGAGCGCCAAGAAGCCGAGAGCAAAAGTAGTGGCAGCAGGGGTGATGGGTGTGTGTCCCTCCGCAAGAACTTGGAGACAGACACCGCACCTCTGAGGAAAAGAGGAGGCGCTGGTGATCGATTTTAAGAGCGCCGAGTAGCCAAGAGCAAAAGTAGCGGCAGTGGGGGCAACGGGCGTGTGTGTTTGTGTCCCTCCACAAGGGACTCAAAGAGGTGGTGTCTGGTGCAGGCCGCCAAAAAGTACTGCTGCCGTCTCCGCCATGTTTTGTGTGCATGTGCATCCATTGGACTTGCAAGGCAATGGGATGCACATGCTCAAAGAACTTGATGGCAACAAATATGGTGGGTGTGGCAAGCGAGCGGCAACTGGGGGACCGGTTTGGGGGCATGACTAGCCGGCTATCACTACCAATTCGGTGACCTTGGCCGAATTTCCGCCAATGGTTCACATGAACCGGTGCAAACTGGCTGAATACCACCTCTGATCCAGATCTTTCCATCACTGTCTTAAATCACTGCAGCTTTATTTCCCCAAGCCTAATTTTATGAATCCCAAACTTTTTGCAAACAAAACTAAACATCTGATTTCCTGTTATTGGGCAACTACCAGATGTGTGGATTTCAACTCCCAGATTCCCCCAGGCAGGAAGGCTGACTAGAGCATTCCGGGAATTGAAGCCCATACATACAAAAGTTGCCAAATTTGAGAAACACTGTAGATAAAATAGCACATCAAGGGGAAAGATTTTAGCCCATCCAGTTCTTGCTATGGCAGTTTTCTGCCAAAAAATAATCTAACATAAAGCCAATTTCAAACTTGTTCTGCATCATACCTTGGAGTTCAATATACCTGCATACATATATGGCCTAAAACTCTTAATAGTTAGTGGTTTTTGAGCTCAGTTTTTTAAAAACAATGCTTTTAATCTGAAAGCCTTTCCTGCCTAAGCCCAAAATGAATCAATTCCTGAGGTTTTGTTTACTTACGATGCAAAAAGAGACTATTATGTAGAAGTCATATTCAGTATGAGGGCTGGTTTAATTATGACACCCCCTGACACGATTGATCTGAGTTCTTAAAGTCAGCAACCAGAACAGATTATAGTCTTGCTGGCTGGGGGATTATGCGAATTCAACTCCAGTACAAGTAAAAAGCACAAGTGTTAGAAAGACTAGACTAGACCAAGACATCCACAGTGTAAAAAGTAGCCATAGTCTAGTTCTCTGTATTGAGAATCCTGAATTTTCTCTTGGAGAAGGACTGAGGAAACCAAAACGAATTACAAGGAGATCCCCAGAGGAATTCCTAGTGACTTTTTTCCTATTGATTATTTCCCTCACCCATTCTTTATCTTCTAAGATCAGCCAAGATGAACTTTGTGGTCCTTCCAGACTACAATTCTTTTGCCAACTCTGGAAGTCAGATTCCAAAACTGAACACAGAGAGAAAACCCACATATCTTTATGTCTATTTATTTTTATTTTATTTATTTGTCAAATGAAAATTACAAATCCAAATGAGCAAACTGAAAAAAAATAAAAATAAAATGTGACAGGGATGATAGGCACATTAGTGCACTTATGCACACCCCCTTAGGAATTAGTATTAGAATAACAGAGTTGGAAAGGACCTTGGAGGTCTTCTAGTCCAACCCCCTGCTTAGGCAGGAAACCCTATAGTATTTCAGACAAATGGTTGTCCAATCTCTTCTTAAAAACTTTCAGTGTTTGAGCATCCACAGCTTTTGAAGGCAAGTTTTTCCACTGATTAATTGTTCTAACTATCAGGAATTTTCTGCCAGAAATTAGGTTGCTTCTCTCCTTGATGCTTCTTGTCCTGCCTTCAGGTGATTTGGTGAATAGCTTGACACTCTCTTCTTTGTGGCAACCCCTGAGATATTGGAACACTGCTATCTTGTCTCCCCTAGTCCTTCTCTTCATTAAACTAGACATACCCAGTTCCTGCAACCGTTCTTTATATGTTTTAGCCTCCAGTCCCCGAATCATCTTTGTTATTCTTCTCTGCACTCTTTCTAGTCTCAACAACATTTTTATGGTGACCTCCCTAGAAATTGATTACAATTAAGATGGTGAAAGTTCATAGCTGAGACAACTTAATCAGATAAGATATTCCAGGCTTTGACCAGACTGCCTGTCTCCTTCACTCTTTCTGCTGGAAAATGTCATTTTGCTTCAGCAAGCCAGGCCCAGATAATGCTGTGTGCAGGCCAAATACAGTAAACAGACTTGGAACAAGGCAGCTTTTTAGCATAGTTGCATGCAGCAAGCTTGGCATTCTAAGGCTGGGTTTCTTAGCACATATAAACACTCTGCTCCCCACATCCCACCCTGGCTCGTCCCAGCATGGCCACCCTCATCTCCGCCCTCAGTCTCAGAGCTCCACCCTCACCTCACCCACCTCCAATTTTTCCACCACCTGTTTGCCAAACGAGCAGACTTTGGAGGTGCAACTGAGAGTCAGAGCCCGTGGGCCCTCGTATCGACTGCTCACCCCATAGAAGGCCCCTCCTCTGCCTCCAAGTTCTTCTCCAGGGAGGGAAAAGCTTAGGTCAGCCTAGAGCAAGAGATTGGAAAACAGAATCAGAACTGTTTTTAACAACTGACGCAAGGTGGGACAAAGATTATTGAGTGTTAGTCTTTAAAGCAGCGGTCCCCAACCTTTGTGGCCCAGCTGGGGGGTGGGGAGGAGAGGGAAAGTGGTCTGTGCAAGCAGTGCACTGGCACATGAGCATGCAGCTTGATTTACACGAGTGGCAGGCTGGCATGTACGTATGCAGCTCAACTTGAGCAGATGCCAGGGCCTGGTAGTGGGCTGTACCCCTGCTCTAGAATAATGCAATGACATCCCCCGTTATTAAAGTGACATATCTATTTATTTCAGAAGCTGGGAGCAAACAGCAGGTAAAAAGGCATTGTTCATCATAACGGCCCAGTTTACCATTTTCTTAGAAAATACAGGTAATCCTCAACTGGGACCAGAATTTCTGCTGTTAAGCAAAGAGGTTATTCAGTGAGACTTGCCCAACTTTGCAATCATTTTAGCCATCTTTGTTAAATGAATCACTGCAGTTAAGTGACTCACACGATGGTTAAGCAAATCCAGCTCCTCCATTGATTTGCTTATTATCCCAGAACAATTGCATAAATGCCAGCTGCCAAGTGTCTGATTTTTGAGATCACATGACCACGGGGATGCTGCAACAATTGTAAGGGTGAAACCAGGTCATAAATAACTTTTTTTAAAGTGCTGTTGCAACTATGAACAGTCACTAAACAAATTGTTGTAAATCAAAGGCTGCCTTTATAGAATTCTGGATTAAGCGCAGCATATCCCCAGAGTCCAAGAAAAGCATAAATAAAAGCAGAAGCAAAAATTATTTCTGATTCGTACGTAGCACAAGGGATAAATATCTTAAATTACATTAATCTGTTGTTGATTTTAAAAATAATGATGTTATTTGATCATGAAGATGTGACTTGGAGCGCTGTATTGTGGAAGAGGGAATATGTGGCTGGGCAAGCAATATAAAGTTTTAATGCATTCAATAGTTCTAATATTTGTTCTTGATATAAAGCTGTCTAAGGTGACTTTTAATTATACCCAGGGTCAGAATCCAAATATCTCAGCAACAGTTTTATTGACAAAGCCTCCCTGTTTCTAATTTACTAACTGTGAGGAAGTAAGACTTGAGGATTGCCACTCTTCATAATCGAAAAGGGATTTGTACTGAGGTCAAACACCAACCAACAAGATGTTGTTTAATTCATTAGCTTAGTTTTAAATTCAGTCTTGAGAATGACTTGATTGCTGCTGTTAACCAACAAGCATATATGTGTTGCAGCAAGTCATTTTGAGAGGTGCGGGATGATTGTTTTCAGTTATATCCTTACAACAGTTCATTTAGTCACCATCAAAACTTACAACAGCACTGAAAAAAAGTGACTTATTACTGTTTTTCACTTACAAACATTCCCATCCTCATGTGATCAAAATTCAGACGCTTGGCAACTGATTCCTATTTATGACAGTTGCAGTGTCCTGAGGTTATGTGACCACATTTTACAAGCCTTCTCACAAGCCAAGTCAACGAGGAAGCTGGATTTACTTAACAACTGTGTTACTAATTTAACTACTGCACTGATTCACTTAACAATTGTGGCAAGAAAGATGGTAAAATGGGGCAAAATTCACTTAACAGTGGTCATGTTTAGCAACATAAATTTTGGGACCAACTGTAGTCATAAATCAAAGACTACCTGTGTAACCTAACTACCAGCTCAGAACGTCTAAAACATGGATAAGCAACATGCAAATGTCTGAACTACACCTCCTACAAGTCCTTGCCACTTGCCATACTAATTAGAGTAGATACGGTTCAAAGTCCCAAGCATCTGGAATACATCAGGTTGGTTGCCTTCCTCTGCTCCAAATCTATCTACTGATCCCTGCAATCTGGATACTAATACCAACAAGACACACTGATTCATGTGAGCACTGATCATAAGTCCCAGGGGAACCTGCTTGTATTCCTGATGATTTGGGAATTCAATGAGCAAAAGAGTTCTTACCCAGAATTTGACCAAGAAGAAAGCATGAGGAGGGCCTTGATCATATAGATCTCGCAGTCCACCTCCTTCTTCTGGAAATTTGTCACAGATTTGGCGTATGTCCACCATCTCCAAGGGTGACTCAGACATGGGTGCTAGGTCAATGTAAACAAAACGATGCTGCCGCTTAAACTATGGAGAAGAGAAAGGGAAGTCAGAGCTGTCAGATAAACATAGCCTGCCTTATCTCACAAACTGCTTTCTGGAGCTCAGGAACTTGCTGAGAGGTAGGAGAAGCATACCAGAAAGTGTGTCCCTTCTGAATGCAAAGATGCACCAGAAGGAAAGGATGCTGTTTACTGGGGGCAGCTGAGCATTACACTATTGCAAGGTTGGGACTCATTCAGCAATTTCAAAATTTGCATGCAATGGCATCTCTCTAACATACTGACATTAATAGGCATAGCCTTTCCAACTTGGAACCCCTCAGATATCCTGGATAGAACTTTCAGTGTAATTAAGTGGCCATGAGATAGGTTAAGGTTGTGTCAAACTCATGTTGTCACATCATTGTCACATGACGTGGGCTTCCCCCCCCCCCTTCGGTAAACCGGGGGTGGCCGTGGCCAGCGCGTAACGCATCCGGCCCGCGGGCCATGAGTTTGAAACCCCTGAGATAGGTGAAGGTTTTTTTTCAGATAAACTTGCTAAACCAGCATAGTTTTCATACATGCAGAAAGGACCTGAGAGATAAGAAATTAACTAAAAAGCAGCATCTGCACATTGTATTTGTATTTGTATGAATCCAGCCTTTTTTGTTTGAAATTCATGCTTTTAGATTTTAATGCAAGGTTACTTAATCTTGGCAGCTTGACGATATGTGGACTTCAACTCCCAGAACTCCCTAGCCAATGTGGAATTCTGGGAGTTGAAATCCACATGTTTCCAAGTTGCCAAAATAGAGAAACATTGCCTTAATGTGTTGAGTGAAACCAATTATTTATGATGTATTCGATAAATCATGGTTAAGCAAATGATACTTAGTGTAACACATAAATACATTTACCTACTATTACTGAGACCTAAGCTAACATTTTCATCTCAAACTTTCTGCCAAAATCAGACGACTAGGTTTTTTACCATACAATTTTTCAGGTTTGACTTCTAGATGGTAAGGGACCTGCTGGCATCTTAAAGCTTAAATTCTATCTTTACTTCATCGGGTTCCTGTACCTTTATTCCCAATTCATTCTAATTCATGAGTCCTCAAACTATGGCCCATGGGCCGCATGCGGCCTGCTGAAGCAGTTAATCCAGCCCATGGAGTACCACGAGGTTGCCCCACCCACATCGCCCCGCCCACCCTTCAAGCAGAAAGCAGGACTTGCCTTCGGGAGCCCTGCAAGTTGGAACCGAAAGGTAAGCTCAACAATTTTGGCCTGCAGAATGCTTCTGGAGGTGCGGAGTGGTGGTGGTGAAAGGAGGCCAAAAACTGGGCAAAAACAGCCCGTTTTTGGCCAAAAAACCGAGCCGTTTTTGTCTGGTTTTAGCCTGCAGAATGCTTCTGAAGGTTGGGGGTGAAAGGAGGTCAAAAAATGGGCAAAAATGGCCCATTTTTCACCTTTCCTGTCTTCAGAAGATAGAGAGAGAGACAGAGAGAGAGAGACAGAAAGAGAGGAAGAGAGAGAGAGAAAGAGGGAGAGGCAGAGAGAGAGAAAGAGGGAGGGAGGGAGAGAAGGAAAGGGGGAAAGAGAAAGAAAGAGAGGGAGAGAAAGAGAGAGGAGAGAGACAGAAAGAGAGAGAGAGAGACAAAGAGAGACAGACAGAGAGAAAGAAAGAGAGAGAGAAAAAAGAGAAAGAGAGGTAGAGAGAGAAGGAAAGAGAGAGAGATAAAGAGAGAGAGAAATAAAGAGAGATTTCTCAAGCTCTTTGGGGCTGAGAAGAATTGCTGCAAAACTGAGTTTCCTGAAGTGGACCACTAGACTCCTAAACAACCGAAAAAAACAATCTAGTAAAATAAAAAGGCAACCAAAAGAGCAACATGCAAACAAAAGCAAATAAAACACCCCCAGGAGCAAAACAAATTAAAGTTTAATTTGTGTGCATTGTTCAATGGACTGTTAAATTGGCAATGCCCACCTAGTCACATGACCACTTAGCCATGCCCACCCAGCCGATCCGGCCCCCCAACAGTCTGAGGGATCGTGAATTGGCCCCCTGTTTAAAAAGTTTGAGGACCCCTGTTCTAATTGATCGTGATAACCTATCTTTCCTCCAAGAACTTTATCCTGTTTATCCTGTTTTTCCTGGATGAAGTAAAGAACAGTTTTTCTTATTATTCTCTTAATAACTCTGGAGCATTAGGTACTATCTGTTACTATCCCAAATAGGTTACTGAATTTCACATACCAAGCAAGACTAAGCATCATTTCTCTAGCTTTAATCTTATTATAGTCAGTTTTACCATTCCTCAAATTTTTCAAGCCAAGTTTACTTTAGCAGATGGGAACAGCAAGGGAGCATTGAAGGGGCACATGTGCGCCGGTTTTACCAAATCTCCTTCGTTCTGCCACTCCATAAAAGCAGTAAACTCCACCAATCGAAGTGTTTCTGTACCAATATGACCCCTCGGCCAAGGGGTAGTTGTGTTGGGGAGACAACAGCCCATCCCTGGGGTGGTGGAATAACCTGAGAAGCCAAGAGAAAAAGACTTGTGGCTAATGGAACACATCCCCATGTTTAGTAGTATAGGCAGTCCTCACTTAATGATGGTCATTAATGATAGTAATTGGGACCAGCAACTCTATTGCCAAGCAATACAGTTACAAAGAGTGACATTTTATGACCGCATTGACTTATGATGGCAGTTGTGGCAGTCCCAGTTGCTATTGTTAGACCAATCCTGCATGGTCATAACTTCCCATGTTTATGGGATTGCCATTTGCAATCTCCTGCTGGCTTCCTCACTGACTTTGTTTATTGGAGAGCCAGCAGAGAAGGTCACAGATGGTGACCACATGATCACAGGAAGCTGCAGCGTCGTAATTGCGAGTTGTTTGCCAAGCATCTGAATTACAATCATGTGTCTATGTGGATGCTGCAACGATCACGATGACGAGGACCTGTTGTAAGTCCCCCTGGTTCAGTGCCATCGTAACTTGGAACAGTCGCTGAATGGCTAGTTGTTCTATGAGGACTATCTGTAAAGTAACAAATGGATGATGGAAGTAGGAGTAATGCTTACCTGAGGCAGCAAGTGATGCTGCAATTGGTGTGATGGGATATGGGGCCTGGAGGATGGGCTTGATACTGAAGAAAGGGAGGACACATAAAAGTAGCAATTCAGCAGAAAATGTTCCAGAGATAGACATAAACATGCTGGTTGCAAAAATATCAATCTAAAACTTACTCTGGAGTAGTTTGGCCTTGGTTTACATCCTCAGCCCAGAAATGGAAAAAGTCTGTGGATTGCTGAAACCAGAAAGAACATTTAAAATATTCCTACCATTTTTGTGTTATTTAATATAAACCAAATTTCTTTTGCAAATATGGAAATGTTCTTTAATTGACCCAAATAGTACCCATGATTAAATGTATTGACAATTTGTTTTTAAAGGCATGTAGGTTTTATAGATTGCAAACACCAAGTTAGAAAAAGCATTCTCTTATATTAATAAAGCAGAACACCTGCTATGATAGAGGCATAAATCACCAGAAAGCATGTGCTATTTGCTTAAAAATATTCTGATAAACTTGATGCCAATTTATCAAGTACAGGTAGTTCTCAATTTATGACTACACTTGAGTCTGGAATTACAGTCATAAATCATGCCAGTCGTTAAGTAGGTCATCATGTGACCAACCCAATTTAACAGCTTTTTTGTGGTGATCATTAAATGAAGTCATGTTTGTTAAGCAAATCCATTGTCCTTGCTGGGCATTTTGTGCTGGAAACTGGAAGCAAATACCAATTTCCGACAAAAAAATGTCATAAATCATGGTGATGTGATCACGGGATGCTGCAAACAGCTGTAAATATGGGCTCTCCAAGCTTCCAAAATACGACCACATAACTGCAGTTGGGGGACTGTGCATCAGTGACTCTAGGTCATAAGTATTTATTTTGGGGTCTGTTGTAAGTCAAAGACTACATGCAGAGGCAAATAACTAAAGTCAAGGACTACCTAAGGTAAAGGTAAAGGTTCCCCTCGCATATATGTGCTAGTCATTCCCGACTCTAGGGGGCGGTGCTCATCTGTTTCAAAGCCGAAGAGCCAGCGCTGTCCAAAGACGTCTCCGTGGTCATGTGGCCGGCATGACTAAATGCCAAAGGTGCATGGAACACTGTTACCTTCCCTCCAAAGGTGGTCCCTATTTTTCTACTTGCATTTTTTACATGCTTTCGAACTGCTAGGTTGGCAGAAGCTGGGACAAATAATGGGAGCTCACCCGAATCAGCAAATCAGCGGGATTCGAACTGCTGAACTGCCGACCTTTTGATCGACAAGCTCAGTGTCTTAGTCACTGAGCCACCACGTCCCAGTAAGGACTACCTATAGAGAGCCATCTAACTACCATATTTTTCAGAGTATAAGATGCACCTTATACGCTCTGTTTTGGAGGCTTTCAGAGGCAGAAAAAAAAAGTTTTTTCTGAAACAGAGTTTCAGAAGTTTCAAAGGCAGAAAAAAAAGCAAAAAAAAAAAAGCAAGGCACAGAGCTCACAACCAAGGAACTTGTAGCTAAAATTCACCTCTGAGAACAGCTGATTGGGGGTATTCCAGGAGGTCAATCCACCCGCCAATCAGCTTTTTTCTTATTTTCCTCCCCAAAAACTAAGGTGCATCTTATACTCCGAAAAATATGGTAATCAACAGAGAGTTCTTTCACCAGACAAATGTCCTACCTAAGCAAGTCACTTAACAATGTGGTTTTCCCTCAGACAATGCTTTCAGAAAGAGCATGAGAGCATGAGAGAACTAAGTGTTAAATGCAACAAACTCCAATCTGAAATCTGCAGCATGAGAATTCCCCCAAAAGAGCTCCAGAGAAATCCCAGTTCACAGCCTTTCCCCCCACATAATGCTTACATTGGTGGTGCTGGATGGATAGTAGTGTTCCGACAGGTCTACTTTCTCCTGGAAGAGAGTGGCCGAAACAAGATGAGCAGAAGACATGACTGTCATACTCTGCAGTGCTTTGTCCTTTGCCACCTGATCCTGGGAGGCAGAGTGAGGCAGGAAAGAGAGACACATTCTGTATTTTAGGAGATCATTTCTTTTCCTTTATGAACTCATGTTGCCCTTTCCACATAGATTACTCTACCAAGGAAATCTTGCATGCATTGAAATTGTTGTGGGTTTCCTATGAGGAGTGTCATTCTGGGATATCCGGAATTTTGTCTGTCTTCCTTCCTTCCTTCCTTCCTTCCTTCCTTCCTTCCTTCCTTCCTTCCTTCCTTCCTTCCTTCCTTCTTTCCCTTCCCTTCCCTTCCCTTCCCTCCCTCCCTCCATGTTCCTAGCACTCCTCTATTCATCACCACTTAACGTACATGTACCTGCCAACTTGCCACACTCGCAGGGCCCAGTTCCCTCTCTTTCCCCCCAGGCGGACCGCCAAGCAGCAAAGGTTGAAGACCACTGGTATTGGGTTTCTTGCCTGAATAGAGGGTTGAACTAGAAGACCTCTAAGCACCAAGCATACGCTCAGCGAACTGGTTGTTACACTGCTTGAATCCCACTACTGATGTTGGGAAGGTTTAAGATCACTAGCCTCAACCCCTTCATTAAAGCAAACAGTCAAGAACTGTATCTAGAATCTCTCCAGCCTAGACATTTAAAAAAAACCAAAAAAAAACCCCAAAGCCTACACCACTTCATAAAAATTTAAACAAAGTTAAAAGATCCCATGATCTCAAGAAATCTAGGATTCCAGATTTGCAATAAACTTTTTCTCCCAATTACTATGCCTCCCACTAAATTCCATTCCCTGCTAGCTGAGAACTGTAATTGTAATAGCTGAGAATTGTAATTCAAATTTCTAATACTTCATCCTATCCTACCCAGGTTTTATATTTTTACTGGAATGCAATCAAACTCATATACCTGAAACTATCTCTTTTCTTATCTGCTGTGACCCTTTCAACCTGCTCTAGAATGGATGGGTACAGAAGATTAGCAAAAGATGACATTTTGCATACATACCGACTTTAGATACTTTATCAGATGCAGAACCAATAAAATATTAATACACTGTGTGCACCCAGTTGCATGAGTAATTCTTTCAGCAGGATAGGCATATGAGCTTAACATGAATTAGTCAAAAGTGATAGGAAAATCTCTCACTTTGAACTTGGTTTGAATTTCTCGTGTTTTTCGCCGGGCCAACACCTGGATGTGACTGGAGACCTGAGAAAGGATTCAAAGAGAGAAAAAAATATAAAACTGTTTGAAGGAGAAAGAAGCAGATTTCATTCCTTTCTTGTTTACCTGTTTCCTTGTCCGTATTTTCCCAGTCTTCAACTTGATGTAACGGGCAATGAGCTCATTACGACCTGCAAGACAAGAAAAGAATTGGGAAAAGAGAAAATGAGAAAAACATTTGGAAAATAAAAAATATTATGTGCCATTATCAGGTCATGTGGGAAAGAACACTTTTGCAGGTCATTCGGTCTGGACATACCATTATTGGTAAACCAAATGGCTACATTAGCAGAGGGAAAGCTTGGATATCAGATGTCTCAAATTCCAGATCATTTGGATAAGTAGGTACCCAGATTTTATATTTTACAGATAGCTAGCTAGCTGGCTGGCTGGCTGATGGATGGGTGGATGAGGAGTGAATGGATGGATGGATGGATGAGGGGGTGAATGGATGGATGGATAGCTGGATAGATAGATAGATAGATAGAAAGATAGATCTGTCCATGTCATATAACATAAATCTGTGTGGACACAGAACAATAAAGTCATAAAAAACACAACAAAACCCCCAGCACCCAAAGATAACACATTTCAACACACACCGATTCAAATGTACTGGGCTCTTAACTTCACTCATCACTCTGACTGGAGAATTTTGGGAATTGAAGTCCACATCTTAAGGCTGACAAGATTGAGAAACATCGTTCTAACTCTAAAATGCTGGTGATTCCCTCTGCTTTGTTTTTATGAGAGCCTCGAGAAGATTCACTGTACGCAGCATTCAGGACTATGCCATCTGAACATGATTAACAGCTGACTTTGCATTTATTTTTATGTCTGGAGAGATTAGAACCATGTTCATTGTTTTTAATTTGAACCTAATCCTATGTATTTTTTAAAAATTGTATTCTCTAGTATCCACAATCATTACCATACGGAATCATAGGGTTGGAAGGGATTTTAGAGGTCCCTTCTAGCTTTTTATATTTTTAAATTTAGTTCAATTTATATGCCGCCTTTCTCCGGAGACTCAGGGGGGCTTACAGTGCATTTAAAAAACCATTATAAAAACATTTAAAATAAAAATATTAAAAAGTTCACCCCTACTCAGTGCAAGAATGGAAATTTGGGATAGGGAAGCAGAGGCTCAAATGTCTACCTACCATACATCTTTCCTTCATCTGAAAGAATGATTTTGCGCCTCCCACAGGGTGGGTAAATTGTCAGCGCCTCCTGGAAACACTTCTCGATGTCCAAGCTCCACACTCCTTCTGCATCATTATCCAGACCATTTTCCCCAGCATCCCCCATCTCTCTGGAGGGGCTGGCCTCCTTTGTCCAGCTCTAAAATGCGAGAGATACCTAGGAGCAGAGAAGCAGAAGAAATGTTGAATGTGAGTTAAGGCTTCGCAAAGCCAATTCAACATCAGCAAAAGGGAAACTGATCTATTCAAGGAACTGTTTCTAATCTAATCTTTTCTAGATACAGGTAGTCCTAGACGTACAACCATTCATTTAGTGACCATTTAAAATTATAACAGCACTGAAAAAAAGTGACTTAAGATCATTTTTGCATCCCCATGGTCATGTGATCAAAATTCAGATGTATGACAATTGGTAATTGCAGCATCCTGGGGGTCATGTAATCACCTTTTGTAATCTTCTGATAAGAAAATCAATGGGGAAGCAAGATTCACTTAGCAACTGTGCTACTAACTTAACAACGGCAGCGATTCACCGAATAACTGTGGCAAGAAAGGTTGCAAAATGGGGCAAAATTCACTTAACAACTGTCTTGCTTAGTAACAGAAATTTTGGGCTCAGTTGTGGTTGTAAATCGAGGATTCCAATGGATTACCACTGGATTACAGATCCTATCACTTTTAGCCAGCATAGTCAAAACAGAGGCGTTGAAGTAGAAAAAACTAAAAACCAGCTCTCCACACATCCTCAACTTGGGTCTCTCAGTTTTACTGCTTTGATCATATGTTTGGAGCTGGTTGAGGAGAAAAGAACTGTATTCCACCATCATTTGAGGGCCCAAAGCCAAGAACATCAGAGATAAATGATTTTGTGTGGCAGCTCTGAAAAGACAGAATATTTGCAAAACTGTTATAAGTGAAGAAGGAAAGCACCGGCTTATAGATGGGCTAAGAACCAGACCTTCATAAGAGTTGGCATCATTTATTCTAGACCAGTCAGGCTTGAAAAACAAGGTTCAGTTCTCCTGTTTTAGAAAGACAACAAAGAATTTGGTTGCTGACAACCCACCACGATGCACACTTTGTTTTCGCCATTTTTGTTTAATTAGGAAGATATCTGTTGGTATAAAACAAATTCCCTCCCTCCCTCCCTTTCCTTCCTTCCTTCCCTCCCTCCCTCTCTCCCTCCCTCCCTCCTTCCTTCCACTGTATTTACAATCCACCTTAATCCCAAAATACTCAGGGCAGTCCACAAAATCACCCAAGAGAAAACCAGAATCATCGTCATCATAAGTAAACTTGAACATCAACAAAAATAACCAAGAAAAGCAAAGCAAAGTTTAAACTCCAGATAAAAATTAACCTACGCTAAGCTGGGACTGAAGATTGAAACAAAACCATTTTAATCTTTTTTTAAAAAAAATTGTGGTAAAATGGGGATTGCATTTAATTTGTATATATGTGTGGGGGAAGTATACTATAAGAAGGTGTTGGCTGACATATCCTGATGCTGTGGAGTTGTTTTAAAGAATGCCCAAGTTGTTGCATTGAGCATGGAAGCCTAACAGCAAGTGAAAACTAACTTTAATATACATGTTATACTGCCAATAATCTTGCTGCTATATTTTATACTAGCTGCAGTTATAGATTATCTTCAAAGTCAGCTGCAGGTCAAGCCCATTATGATGACTACCTCAGTAGTGATTAAGGCATGAGCAATATATAAATGAACAATAGTTCATTTATATTGAAATGACTAAATAACCAGTTCTAAAATCAGCAACAAAAAAGGATCTTTAGACATATCTTTACATCCATAGAGTTGAAATTAGAGGTAACTATAAATTCAGAGCAGTTAAAGTTTTTTTTACCAGGCAAATTTAAATTCTCATGTGTAATCCAATATAATTATTTGGATTCTGCCCTACATACTGTGTCTCTTAGACAGTCAAACTGCCACGTAAAAAAACCAAACTGAATAATTTCAAAACAACCATGTAAGAGAGGTTAGCTTGCAAGGCTAGCCTTTTTCAGTCTAGCTCAGAAGAAGCCCATAACTACATTGACCTCTACTGTTAGATATTTGTATAATTCTCAGGACATTGTAATAGTTTCTGATATCTAGTTATTCTAAAAAAGAGAAGTTACTGTTGAATATAATAATATTTGTTGGAAAACCAGGGATGGACTTAGTGTCAATGGTGGAACAGTTCAGTGCTGGTTCTGAAAATGTATTCTTATTTTTAATTGCTGATTCAGTTCTACAGAGGAATTGAGTCTGTCATCTGCACCTCCGTAACTGTCTGGTTTGGATCTTCAACCTAACTATACAGACACAGACTTCAGAGGATAATTAGAACTGCAGAAAAAACACTGGCTAACAACCTGCCTTCCATTGGATTGCATTCTACTGCACGAGTCAAAAAGAGGGCTGTGAAAATATCTACAGACCCCTCACATCCTGGACACAAATTGTTTCAACTTCTACCTTCAAAATGATGCTATAGGGCCCTGATGGCAAACCTATGGCACGTGTGCCACAGGTGGCATGTGGAGCCATATCTTCGGGCACGCGAGCCGTTGCCCTAGCTCAGCTCTAGCACGCATGCGCATGCCAGCCAACTAATTTTCGGCTGGCCCTTCCCATGCCACCCCTCCAGTGATGGGATTCAAGTAATTTAACAACCGGTTTTCTGCTCTAATGATTTCTTCCAACAATCAGTTTGCCAAACTGTTCAGAAAGTTAACAACCGGTTGTCCCAAAGTGGTGCGAACTGGCTGAATCCCACCACTGCACCCCTCCCAGGAGTCTCCACGCGGCCTGTTTTGGATGCCAGGTAAGTACAGGGCTCACACGGAGGCTCTGCGATGGCGTTTTCGGCCTCCGGAGGGCCTCCGAGGGGATGGGAAAGCCCATTTTCGCCCTCCCCAGTCTCCAGGAAAGCTTCTGGAACCTGGGGAGGGTGAAAAACAGGCCTACCGGGCCCACTGGAAGTTGGGAAATGGGTCGTTTCTGGCATCTAGAGGGCCTCCAGAGGGGGTGGGGGAGGCTGTTTTCTCTCTTTCCAGCCTCCAGGAAAGCTTCTGGAACTTGGGGAGGGCAAAAAAAGGGCCTACTGGGTACACTGGAAGTTGGGAAATGGGCTGTTTCCAGGCTCCAGAGGGCCTCTGGGGTGTGTGTGGGGAAGGCCGTTTTCGCCCTCTGGAGGCTTCAGGTAGGCCTGCTAAGCCCAAAACAGGGTGTGGGGTGGTTGTGTGCGCATGTGCGGGGTGGTTGCACACGCATGCACGGGGGGCATTGAATTATGGGTGTGGGCACGCACACGCATGACCCTCCCCCCACTCCCCCCGATTTTGACACGTGATGACAAAAAGGTTAGCCATCACTGTAGGGCACTGCACACCAGAACTAGACACAAGGACAGTTTTTTCCTGAATCCTATCACTCTGCTAAACAACTAATTCCCACAACACTGTCAAACTATTTACTAAGACTGTATTACTATTATTCTTCTCATCCTTCCTATTACCTATCTCCTCCCACTTATAAGTATAACCTTGTTGCTTGTATCTCTATGATTTATATTGTTTGTTTCCTAATATGATTGCTTATTTAGTAACCTATGACTATCACTAAGTGTTGTATCTTATGATTCTTGATGAATGTATTTTTTTTCTTTTTATGTACACTGAGAGCATATGCACCAAAGACAAATTCCTTGTGTGTCCAATCACACTTGGCCAGAATTCTATTCTGTCCTGTCTTATCCTGTCCTATTCTATTCTGCCAAACATAGGCTTGGAGGCTTAACATTATTCCAAGTATGTGAGCATTACTCAAATCATTAGCTACAGTTGGTAGATTCTTGACTCAGAAAAGCCAAGAAACATATAAACAAGCCTTACAAGCCTGAGGTTTTGCACTAGGGTAGTCTGGAATTACACTTATTACAAAGATGTTTTGTAGGAAATAAGGCCTCTAACGCAGTGTTTCTCAACCTTGGCCACTTGATGATGTGTGGACTTCCTTAGCCAGAATTGGTTGAAGCTCATACATCTTCATGGGGCCTAGATTGAGAAATACTGCTCTAATGGATGAGTAGGGTGATTGGATTGGAAACCCAAATAAATTTGTCCATTTGGTTTCTCTGTCACTGTCCCATTTTCTCAGGTCAGGTTTCCCGTTGCGAACCAGTAGTAAAGGTAAGTAGAACCCACCCCTGGAGTCAGCATATTACCCCCTCAATTTTGGGTCCTCATTTTACCCACCACGAAAGGCTGAAAAGCTGAGTCAACCTTCAGCCTGATGAGATTTGTACTGCCAAATTGCAGGCAGCCAATACCGCACTCTAACCACTGCACCACGTAAATCTTTTTAAAACATAAACATTAAAAACCTGGCACCAAAGTAAGCCTTCTAACATACTGGTTAAATCCTCTCATCTGCCTCAACTTATTTATTTATTTATTTATTTATTAAATTTATATACCGCCCTATTCCTAAGGGACTCAGGGCGGTGAACAGCGAACGATAAAAATACATGTAATACAAACGTTAATAAAAAACTAATTAAAATATGCTAAACACTCTGGACCTAGATAATTCAAGACATCCCAGTTTAAAATAAAATCAAAAAGCAATATAAAGGGAAAGTTAGGCCAGGCCGGCCTGCTGAAACAGGAATGTTTTGAGGGCATGGCGGAAATTGCGCAGATCCGGAATCTTCTGTATCTCTGGGGGGAGCTCGTTCCAGATGGTGGGTGCCCTCACAGAAAAGGCTCTCCCCCTGGGGGCCGCCAGTCGACACTGTTTGGCTGACGGCACCCTGAGAAGCCCCTCTCTATGGGAGCGTACTGGGCGGTGAGAGGCAATTGGTGGCAGAAGGCGGTCTCGTAAGTACTTATGAAAGCACTTGGAGGAAAAGCCAAGTTTTAAATGCTATTCAGAAGGCTGGAGGGGGCGGGGTGGGTTTGAAGCTTCCTGAACCTCAAGGGGAAGGGGGTTCCATAGGGCAGGGACTGCCATGGAAATGGCATGTTTCCTTAACCCCATAAGAAGGTAATGTTGAAGGGAAGAGACTAGGAGTGTTCCCATCTATCTGACCTTGTAGGAAGGGTAGACATCCTTAGGGAGAGGTTGTCCTGTAGATCAGGGGTCAC